TCCAGCCTTCAGGCCTTAGGTGGTACTTAAGGGAATTTTGGAAGATTGTGTGACAAAGGGAAGACAGGGATGACCCTGCACCATCATTGCCTGGCAAAAGGCTATAAGCGTGAACTGTGGGCACCTCTGTCTGTCTTCTGTCTTGTTTCTTCTCACTGTTTTTTTGTTCTTGTCTTTTTCCCTCAGTGTGAAAGAGAACTTGAGGTGGGGCAGGGAGAGGGTTGGAGAGAACAGGTAGGGAAAAAAGACTATATTTTGGACTTAGTCTCTCTTCTCTTCCTTCTTGTCTTCCAGAGTTCTTTTTGCTGCTCCAAGATTCTTCCCCACCAGCCAGCCTGAGCATTTTCTCCAGGGACCCCCTCCATGTTCAAGGTCTGAGACCCACAGTGAGTTTCTCCAACCAGATGGCAACTTTTTGGAAAGGACATGGCATCCCCCAGACCCATTCGTGGATGGGGTCTGGCTGCCCTCAGAGACACTACAGCTCCCATGCAGATTCGGACACCAATTCAAAGTGCCTTAGCCCAGGGTCCCGGGTTCCTGCTGCCCACTCAGGACCCTGGTCGACCTCAGACCAGCTAACACATGTGGACTCGGAAGGACAGGCAGCGATGGTAGATGTGGGTGGGAAACCAGACACGGAGCGGGTGGCCGTGGCCTCAGCTGTGGTCCTCCTGGGACCTGTAGCCTTCAAACTTGTCCAACAGAACCAGCTAAAGAAGGGAGATGCCCTGGTGGTGGCCCAGCTGGCTGGAATCCAGGCGGCTAAGATCACCAGCCAGCTCATTCCTCTGTGCCACCATGTGGCCCTGAACCACGTCCAGGTGCAGCTGGAACTGGACAGCTCGCGCCACGCTGCAGTAATCCAGGCCACTTGTCGGGCTCGGGGCCCCACCGGGGTGGAGATGGAGGCGCTGACCTCTGCTGCGGTGGCCGCCCTCACTCTGTATGACATGTGCAAGGCTGTCAGCAGGGACATCGTGGTGGGGGAGGTCAAACTCATCAGCAAGACTGGAGGCCAGCGGGGGGACTTCCATCGGGCTTAGAGCCTGTCCCTTTGCTGCTAGATGATTTATAATAACCTGTGAAGTCCCCTTTACGCCGAGAGGATGCCATAGACCTTTAAGTCTTCCAAAGACGCTGAGGTAATGGAGGGGACTACAGAGAGCATCACCAGGTGACAGGAAAACCAGGTGTTACTTTTGAACTGTTGGAGACACTAGCTTCTGGAAACCCAACCCGTAACTACTCATTTTGGGTTCTCTCTTCCCCTGGTTCCTGGGGAGAAAATAAGGGCTAATTAAGCAGAGGAACCCACTTTGAGAAGGGAAAAGCACAAGCTTGCTTAAGAATGTGTCACAGCTTCTCTCCAATAGTGTGGCCTTCCCGATCTCATGTGGCCACAGCCCTGTGCCGTCCCCCTCCGTTCCTGCCATCCCTCTTTCCAAAGAGCCAGTTGCCCCTTCCTTTGGCCCTAGTCTGTGGCCGATGCCACCTATAGGCTTTGGACTTAACAATTTCACTGACCCGCCAGCTCTCTTACCTTGTCCCCCTCTTACACAGAATGCACGTGTTGGGGTCCCCTGGGGACCCTTGGCTGACTGCTTACCCCACACCTGCTCACTGCCTTCCACCCACACACACCTCTTTATTCTGGAATATGTCAGGGAAAGAAGAGAGTTGAAGATGATCTTCGCCCTCAAGACAAATAAAGCCATGGTGCCAAATTTGGAGAGGCAAGAACAAGGACTGTATCTGGGGGTGTTGGGCTGCTACGGTTCATTCCGCCTCAATCCATCCCACAGACCCGCTCCCCAAGAAAAGCAGGGAGACCCTGGCAAGGCCAATAGCATTCTCTCCATATGCCCGTTCCCCCTCCCACCGTGGGGAGTGGGAGGTGTGAGAATGCACTCTTTAAGAGGAATTTTGTCAGGTAGGGGTGATGCACCCCAGCCACCTTGCTTGTATCACCAGCTACTGGTAACCAGGAGTGATTTGGAGACTCCTGTTTCCACACCCCCAAACACTGGCCTGGCCCCCTGGGTTCTCTAATGTGAATGGGCTCCTGTGGGGGTCTCCTCAGTGGTGACCCTGCTGAGGTTGCTGGCAAAGGTTGAACAACCAGCTCTGAAAAGCAATTTCCTGATACAGATACTCCCAATTCTAGCTCTCCATGTAAAACTTCGGACTTTTGTGGAGCCGGTACCAGCTGGCTGTAGCACATGCCCCACTGTGACCATTTCCCAGCCCACCTCAAGTTCCCTCTGGGAGGAAGCACAAGTTTCTAGCAGCCTGGATAGGGATGGTATGGATTTAATATTTTTTAGTATTACAATATATTCTTATAAAAAAAGGTGCAGGTAAAAAGGACACTGCAGATTTTGTACATGAGCCTCAGTTGTCATCTGAGATAGCTGGTGAGAGCAGCCTTGCCGTGAAGTTTGGTAGGGGTCCCTTGTAGAGGGTGGAGAGAGATGGTTATGGCTGCCCAGTTGGTGGCAATGGGAGGGGTATGGGGAGAACCCAGACCAGACCCTTCTCCATCCACCTGGAGAATTTTCTTACTCCCCTAAATACATCCATCATGGGCAGGGGAGATGGTGCTGCTGCCACTGTTGAGAAGGGTCATATGAGGTTGACTATAAATTTTACAGTGGACACAAATTAGCTAGAGGAATTTACCCCCAAATGGGTAAGAAGGTTTCAGGAATCCTGGGGAAAGCAAAACCAAGGAACATATATACAGGCTTAATCATTTAACACCAAGGACCAACCCGGCTACCTACTTTGGGCACCAGGGCCGCCTTATTGATTTGACCGTGATGGTCCATAGTCCAAGGCACTGTTGGAGATCTGGCCACAGTGGCATCTAGTGCCAGAGCCACTGGCCAGATCCAGAAAATAATAAATAGAAAAAAATATTTTGGGGGTGAGAAGGCTGGGTTCTGGAAGAATGTGTCCCCTGTAAACAGTTAAACAACCCTGCCTTGCTGAGAATTGAGTGTGTCTTGAACAGCTTCCATATTCCATGTCTTTGCTGGTGCATATCTGGGCTTCCATGGTAGTTGGGAATGCCAAGATTTGGATGGTGCTGGTTGGACAGAAGTAGAGCCCTCCCCGTTCGCTGCCCCTGGCTGACTCAGCCCAGTCAGTTTGGGAGAGGACCTTAGGAAACCCCATCATGAACCCCCATCCTCCCAGAGCCCACTGCTTGCAGCAGAGGTTCTTGGGGTACAGATGGAGGTAACAAAGCTCTCAGCAACTGCTCTTCTTAGAAGCCTAAGCCTTTGCCTAATCCTCTCCTAGGTCCCAGGATGGCCTCTTCACACCTATGCTGACCAAGCTTGCACTTGCTCGGATCCCTCCCACCAAAACACTTATAACCTCCTCCTCAAACCAACTCACATGCCGGCCTCACTGACCCTGTGTTTCTTCCCCCACAGCTACTATGATCCCACCCCAGGAATCTGATATAGGGAAAAGACCCAAGATGGGCAGCTCAAAAGTGAGCCCAGCCCACCACTCTGTCCACTGGCAACGACCCTGAGCCAGGAAGATGGGATTGGAAGATGATAACTATAAAGGGAAGGGACCAGGAGCCAGCTGATGGTGCAGATCAGGCAGGGCTAGCTTGAAGGTATGTGTATAGAAAATACAGGCCTTGATGGAGCTGATCTCACCCTCCTCCGTTTGGAAGAAAGAAAACCTGTCCAGATACAGCTGTTCTGCTGACCTGCCAAGCACAACTCAGTATGGACAAAATGAAGGTGGTGGACAGGAGGACCAGTATGGGCCCCTTTGCAAGAACCAAACTGACCACCAGAGGTGGAAGTGGGCGCCTTCTCTCAGCTGTCCTCCCTGGGCTCCTTCAAGCACTGTGCTCAGCAAGGAAGTCAGTGGCCTTGTCTCCCCATCTCCCCAGTGTTCCCTGCCTGTCCTCTTAGCCCCCACTTTGAATGCCTCCAGGGGGACCATCCTTAGAGGTGACTGTAAATGCAGAGGGTAGCTTTGACCCTCAGGAACCAACTTCCCAGGGCCAGCCTCAGCCAACTTTTCATGGTTCCAAGAAATCTGCAGCCTGGACAGGCGGGAGGCCTCTGTGACTTCTGCCCTGGGGCAGGTGTTCAAAAGGTGTGGAGCCCAGAGAACTGTTGCATGGAACTAGGCTTTCAAGTGTCACCCTCTGGTGAGGGGCTCCCAGGAACTCTAGCAACATGTGCGGTCACTCTCACTTCAGGACAATAGGGAGTTGTCACAGGATCCCTTGCCCAAGACATGAAGTGTGAGGACACATGAAGTCATCTTTTACTCCCTCCCTCACCAGACTTGTCAAGCACCTCGTAGTGAGTCATAGTCCCGGGAACCCCGGGGTACATTTGCTGGATTGCAGATTAGTAGATAGGATGGACATGGGGATAGGGAAGGGAGAGGGACCAAAGGACTGACACTGTGGGAAACAGGCACTGCTACTCCGTCCTGCTGACTTTGGTCCGTACATCACCTTCATCTTATATAAGGCCTCTTCGGTTTCCAGCCAAGAAAAAAGTTTGCTACCAGATTCATGTTCCACTGAGCCTCCTCTTCAGCGATAGAAGCCTGGATTCCCTCCCCCTGGCTTTCAGAGGCCCAACCACCATTACTCCCCACTGCACAGGAGATCAGATTGGGACAAGGTCCATGGACCTCTCCAGTCTAGACTTGGAACAGTTCTGTGCTAACGTGGGTTTGCCCAGGGCGGGGAGCAGGAACAGGGCCCCTCAGTCTGAGATTGCCTGGCCAGGACCTGCCAGGGATATCCAAGCCAACCCCAGAGGCTCCCCCCAGGAGCTAGGATCAGAACGATCAATGTGGAGGAGGTGAGCAGAGTCCCTTAAGGTAAGTGTGAGGAGACACCTGGACCAACCCCACCCAGCCTTACCCAGGGCCCAGCCTGGGGCTCGAATTCCGCCTCCTCCACTCAGCCCCTCTCAGCTGTCCCTGTCTCCTGGCCGCCCACATGGCCATTCCCCAGGTCAGTAATTTAGCCTGTTAATGGCCCTTTCACGGGTGGCTTCTGGGGCCTGGCTCCCTGAACGCTTGCGGCTGCGCTTGAGCTTGCTCAAGTCCTTGTCGAACACCTCTCCAGAGCGCAGGGCCGACACCAGGTCGTCGAACTCTCCTCCCTCCTCCAGAGTGCTGCTCGCCAGGACCTTCCGCTGCCGTTGCCACCGCTCCCGCTCCCGCTGCTCCTTCAGCTGGGGGTGGGGGTCGAGAAGCTGGAGCCCCCTCAGGGACAGGGGCCAAGGCAGGGCAGCTGCACAGTCCCCTTGCTGCACCGATGGCCTGACAGCTGGGGGCCCACCCCTGGACTAGGGTGCTTCACTTACACCCCCACCTTACTTCTCAGGATGCCCCAACCTCTCACCTCTCACTGCTGTCTTTCAGGATGGGCATTGGCACCTCCAGTGTGCCCCAGTCCCTTCCCCCTCAGCCCAACAATTCTACCCTCAAGTGGCTCCCTGCCCTGACCCTCCCCCCAAGTGGCTCCCTGCCCTGACCTTCCCTCAGGCCCTCCCCTCTGCCCTTATCCTGCCCCAGGCCCAACCTCACCATGGCTTCCATGCGTGCCCGCCGTTCCTCCTCCTCTTTCCTCCTCCTCATGGCCTCCAAGTCCTGCCGGGCCTCTGAGAAGGACTGCAGGAAGGTGTCAAAGATGCCAAAGAACTCGTCGGGCTGCATCTTGCTGTCATGTTCCCCGAAGTGCATCAGTGCCTTGGCAAACTGTGCAGGGAGGGAACAGGTTGGTGGAGAGTCATCAAGCAAGGGGGCTCAGCTCTGTGGTTAGCTGGGCTCCAGCCAGAACATGGCCCAGTCCAAAGCCCAGGATTATAGGAAGTGGGGAGACCCCATTATCATATGCATAAGGAAAAGCTTGAGGCCCACACCTGGGGAGGTGGAATTTGGACTGACTGTCAGGCCACCTCAAGGACACCTCTGGGTCTGCTGTGGCGAAGGTCCAGGTCATGAAGTGTAGACCTTGGGAAGCCCTTTCTGAGGTCAGGAACTTCCCAGTCAGACTGAACCTGAGATCATTTAGTTATTGGGTTACTTATTAAACTCTTCTGTGCCTCAACTTCCTCATCTGTAAGATGGAAATAACAGAATCTGTAGTGCTATTGTGGGAGTAAATGAGAATAGATGCAAGGGAATAGTTACACGTGTCCAGCCCTGTTTGGACTGAAAGCTTCCATCTCTAATTCAACCCAAGCAACAGCCTCTAAGGAACACCTCGAAACTCAGCGTTCTCCCTGGGCCAGCAGCCTCTGCACTTCTTGGATGCTGGTTAGGAATGCCAAGTCTCAGGCCCCACACCAAGCCTCCTGAATAAGAATCCAGTTTACAAAAGCCCCCACATACGGGGCCTATGTGCAGATCAACCTAAGAAGCTGGGAAAAGCAAAGCAATCAAGTCCAAAGCTGCAATGCAGAGTTAGGCTCCTCAGCCGATTCCATCATTTATAGCTGGCCATCATGGGCATGTCGCCTCCATGTCCTATTTGTTGAGTGGGCTTGTGAAACCTTAGCGAACCTGTAAGGAGGGTGGTACCTGAACCCTGATAAGCGGACTGTGTTCTTTGCAGTATGTGGTTATCCATATGGGTACAATATGCTCACTCATCCTGCAGGAGTGAGGGGACAGTTCCTCCTCAAAGCTCTGTGGCTCTGGGGTTGTTCCCCCTGGGCTGTCTGTGGGAGGCAGGGGTGAAGGAGCTCTGCTAGACACAGCTGAGATGAAGAGCAGTGGAGCTCAGGGTCTGGCTGGGGTCAAGGGGCACTTGGGACACCCTTACCTTGTCCCTGGCTTCATTCAGTTGGTCTTCCAGCTCTGAGAAGCTGAAGCTGGATACTGTGATGAAGTCGCTCATGACTGGGACAAACTTGTCATTGGGCTCCCGCACCTGGCGTCTCTGATACTCCAGCTCCTGAGAAGGAAGAGTGATTCCGAATCAGGAATTCAGGGATCATCACCACCCCCATTTGCCACTCATGGGACATTGAGCCTCCCTTTGGAAGAGGGAACACCTAGAGTTCACAGTCCTCAGGGTAGTACAGAATAAGAGTTATCCACCACTTCACCTACCTCTATGCCCTCACCTACCAATGTCATCTTTCTTTTTCAAGAGCCTTGCTGCACAGAATGTGTTCTGGGACCAGTAGCATCACCTGGGAAATCTTAATAAATGCATAGTCTCAGGCCCACCCCAGACCTATTGGGTGAGAATCTACATTGTAACAAGACCCCCAGGGAGTCATGTGAAGATTTAAAATATATGTTTTCTAAAGCTCCTAACTGGTGCACATGCTCCTGGTCCATGGACCACACTAACAAGTTGGATGTTTGGAAATCACCCCTTGCCCCAATGTGGCAAAAGGTTATTTATTATACTTAATGTTACTTCTTTCTTGAAGTCCATTTCCCACTCACACTTTCCCTTTCCCTAAAAGGAAGAGGGGAAAGGTTTTGGAGGGGTAAGGGGCAAGAGGTTGAGGACATCCCAATACTGGGCCTGCCTTGCCTAGAGCCAGAGATGGTATTAGCTGAGAAGCATCAGAGCAAGAATGAGAAAGGCCAAAGACTGGGTGCTATGGTCTGTGTGTTTCCTCCAAATTCATGGGTTGAAATTCTGCTCTCCCAACAGGGTGGTATTAGAAAGATGGAGTCTTTGAGCTGTGGTGGTTCATGAGGGCAGAGTCTATGTGAATGGGATGAATACCCTTATAATAAAGACCCACAGGAGCCCATTTGTCCTTCCCACCATGTGAGGGTACAGCAAGAAGGTGCCATCTCTGAGGAACAAGCCCTCACCAGACATTGAATCAGCTGGCAACTCGATCTTACACTTCCTGGACTTCAGATCTGGGAGCCACTTCTCTTATTTATAAGCGACTCTGTTCATGGCATCCTAAATGGACCAGGACACCTGAGCCTCCAGCAAGGACAGCAATGGGTCCCCCACTGACCCAGTGGGGTGAAGAGACATGAGGAAGAATTTTCTGGGGCCAGCAGACCTCTCTGCAACCCTGCATGACCCCTATTCCTAGCCAGTTCTCCGCTTTCCTATCCACTTGAATTGAACTACAATATGGCAGATTTATAGTTCACTCCATCCCCTTCCATATGAACATCATGTTGGACAGGAATATAGAAACAACTTCAGTTGTCCCCTCTGTGGGGGCCGAAACCTAAACCCCAGATAATTCAATCATCCTTTCCTGAGGGCTGTGTTCACTGTGCCAATTGCTGGACCTCAGCCAGGAGCTTTAGGTCACAGAAGTGCCTCAGGCTGGGGTCTACTGTCGATCCAGAGTGGACAGCATGGGCAGCTGTTTCTCTAATAGCATCCCCTCAAGCCCAGGCATGCTTGATGACGTACTCACCACCTCGACAGCTCTCAGGCCCCTCCTCAGGTTGCTAACCTCCTTCTCCAGCTCCGCCAGGCTGTGGAGAGACAGGAGGGAGAGGAGGTCACTAGCTCTGCATGGTGGAGGAGGACCTGAGGCTGGTTCAGATGGACAGCAGCACTAAGCACAGTGGCCTGGGGGTCTGTGGACCTCAGTCTCAGCTCTGCTTAGGCTACTAACAGGTGGCCCTAGAAAAATCACTTTCCTTCTGCCTGCTGGTGCATAGAGTTCTGTTGCATAGACCCTTTTGGATCAGAAATACCATGCTCCATATTTTCTAACGTATGGTCTCTGGCTCAGACTTCTATTTTTTATTAGTATCAGGTACTGCTTATTAGCTCTTAACAGGATTCTGTGGCTTGAATGTGTCCCCAAAAGTTCCTGTATAAAGTTATATTAATGGCATCTGGAAGTAGGGCTGATGAGAGATAATCAGGATTAGATGAGGTCATAAGGGTAAGGACCCCCATGATGTTATCAGTGGCTTTATAAGGACAAGAGACCCAAGCTAGCAATAACACTTGCTGTCTTGCAGTATGATGTCATCTGCCATGTGATGATACACCAGATGCTAAGCAGACCCTGAGGCCATGCTCTTGGACAGCCCAGCCTCCAGAACTGTAAGTCAAATGAACTATTTTTTATAAATTACCCAGTCTCGGGTATTATGTGATAGCAACAGAAGGAAGACACAGGATACTTTGTATGCAGCAAGCATTGGATACCTATTAGCCATTTACATTTCGGGTTCCACTGGAGATGGTTTCTATCAGCCCTTGGGTTCAGGTCTGATTTCGGTAGCAGAGGCTGTTGATGCCCCACGCTATGTCCTCCATCCATCCATTAACATGGCCCCAACTCTTCCAGCTGGGTGAGCACTTTTTCTGGGGTAGCCTCCTCAACCTGTACCCATGATCAGAGAGTTCTAGCCTCCTGAGATGCCCTCAGCCAATAAATGACACAGGATACTGTGTGACTGCCCCAGCGCCCTTACCCCATGGGTGGGATATCCAACCTCCTGGAGTCGCCTAGTGGGGCTTGGTGCCACTTTCCTACCGTGGTAACTGGCTTACCAAGGTCCCTGTTTTGGGCATTCCGTTTCTTCCTAGCTTACTTCCCCACTCCTCTTTTGGTATTTTCTGGAAGCATCACTGAAATAAGGATCTAAGAGCAAACTGTCTGGTTCTCCCAAAAGCAGCCCCTGGATTGCTGCCCACTCCTAGTTAGCCCAAGGTGCATGTCATCATGGGGATAAGGACATCTTAGAGGGACCCCTCACTTGACTTTGGCGGCTTCTGGAAGATGCTGCAGTTCCAAAGGCATGTTTAGGATGTCAGGGAAATGCTTCTCCAGAATCATGATCAGGTAATGGAGCAGAGAGATGTTTCTGTGGATGACAGGTCAGGGGTGAGGGACCAGGAAGCAGAATGAGGGTCAGGAGGAGACCCAGGTAGAAGGCAAAGGGAAACAGGCAGGGAGTCTTGGGGAGAGGGGTCAAGGGTGAGGTGAGTTGGAGGCTAAGGAGGCAAACAGGTCCCCACCTGTCAATGCTGGACTTGGTGTCAGCAATCTTGTTGAGGCTGGCCACCCGAAACCCATAGGCGCCCCCGCGCTGCCCCTTGTTCATGAAGTTGCCAATGGCCAGGACAACCTCTAACATCTGCTTCAGACGCTTGCTGCGAGTCAGCTCCCGGGAGGCCAGCAGGATGGCTGGGAAAGGGGGGACAGGTCAGAGCCTGAGCAGGGCAGCTGCTCCCCTTACACCCCAAGAAGATGCCACGATAGAGTTCAGAGAGCCACTGTCCAATGTCAACTCTTGTGGGCCAGAGGCTTTCCCACTTCTCATCTCCAAGTTTCCAGCTCCACGGACACAGACGAACTCACCAAGACCAAGGCACCAGTCTTCTCGGACAGCACCAATACTTTTCCCAAGAACATACTTGAAAAAACCTTTTCATGCATAAAATGATTATTATGTCCTTTCTATGAATATGATACTTTTCCTTCCTAAACCTAGCACTTAAAAATTTTAAGTTCTGCCATAATGTTGAGCAAAATAAGCCAGCATGAAATTATTCAGAACCTATAACTCCACTTATGTAAATTTCATAACAAAAAAATTACTAAAAGTCTCTTTGGAGAAGAGGGAGGCCTTAATAGTTGGAAGGGGGCAACATTTAGGAGAAAGATGCACAGAGGAGTCTGGGGGTCTGGAAACCTTCCAGGTCTGAGCAGGTGTGAGTATATGGAGTTCACTTTATAACAATTCATCAAGTGGGTCTCTCCTCTGTGCTTTGTCCTATTTCAATAAAAAGTTCATTTGGAAAAAAATAGTTCTAAAAGTTTCTGGCAATTTATATTCCTTGGGATAATTTTTCTAAGGTTGATATGCTATTTGAAAAATCTGCAAAGGGATCCTAAAAAAATGCTAAAATGTTGGCCAAACAGAAAATGACAGGGGTTCAAAGGAAATCAGTGTCAGTGGGAAAACTCCCCTATGCAGTCCTGACATTTGAGATACACTCAAGAAGAATATATTCATGAATATATTCATAAGAATATTACATTTGCAACCATATTCATCTTGACTGTATTCAGAGGATGTATTCATAATAATACATAATAAGAATCAGTAAATTTGGTATACTCAGCAATGAACGTGTTCATAGGAATATATTTAAGGATATGTTCATGAATATATTCATAGAAGAATGGGCAAATTTGTCCAAGTTGGTGCATTGGCTTTAGGTAAGTTGACCCAGAGTCCCTGCTGGAGGATGAGAGGATGGCTGTCACTGGCCCGGGACCCAGCTAGGATAGGCTCCATCTTGGATCCTCCGGGAATATTTCCTAGAAGAACTGGAAAGGAGAGTGTGACTCAGCTGCTGCATAATTCTCTACCCGGAATCAAGCACAGGATCTGATTCTATAATAGCCAACCCAGCCCTCTCTACCTCGCCCTCAGACGTCCTCCAGCAGAGCGAGTCTTAGGCAGCACAGCTTTTGGAGAGTGACTTTCCCAGCACTTTTGTCTTCCAAACTCATCTTGCTCTATGAAGCTTGATATTAAAGGGAGACCTTCCAGAACATCCCCAGACTATCAGGAAGCACTTAGGAGCAGGAATGGGAAGCTGGAACTGATCCTACCCCATGGCTAAGCTGCTCTGCTTCTGAAGCTCCAATGGCAGTTGCTCCCATTTGCTCCAATGAGCCAGGACACACTAACTGTTGAGCGCACACATCTTGGGCTGTACGCCTTATCTGTGCCTCGTGCCCCAAAGGCTGTGTATGGCAGGAGATGAAGATAAGGAATCACCCTGGTCAGAGGGCGAGGAGATACCACCAGAGCTTAGGGATGGAGAGTCACTCCTGAGTTTTTCCTTCTCTCTCAGACCCATTATCTCTAAACACACCTGCAGGTCCCTCACTGCCTGAGGATGGTATGACGGGGGACAGGGTTCAGGTTACAGAAAGTGTCTGCCTTTAGCTCTCCATGCTCCATCCTTCCCCAGAAGCCTCCTGGAAGCCGCCCACTGGACTCCACCAAGGTCCACTCCCTAGACTGACTGCCAGGGAGGGCTGACTGACCCTGGCGTCCAGCAGGGGGGGCCCATGCTCTGCTCTGCCCCAAGCCCTGCACCCTCAGCATCTGGGACACAGGCTCTCTTGTTCCCCTCTGCTGGGCTTCCCAGCGTTTGTCCCCATCCTGCCCTCCTGCCTTTTCTGCAACTCTCGGCTCCTCCCTCCTCTGCCATCCCAACAGGCATCCCCAGGAAGATGTCCTGTGGACAGTCACTGGACCAGGGGAAAGGCGTGGGTTAGGAAGACAGCAAGTGCATCCTTACCCTGGCTCCACCACCCACCAGTGACAACTGCCAGAGTCACCAGGCAACTACCACAGTCCTACTTCAGAGATGAGAAAGGAGGCACCTAGAGGGTGACGATAGCACTCACACATGGGACTGTTATAAGGACCAAATGACACCTTTTTCTTTTTGCATAATGCTTGGTACATGGTTGTCAGAAATAATAATTCTTGTTGGTTTTCAGTTTTTGTTTTTGTTTTGTGGTACTGGTGACTGAGCCCAGTGGGCACTCCACCACTAAGCTGTACCCTAGCCCTCTTTATTTTGAGACAGAGTCTCAGTGCATTGTAGAAACTGCCCTTGAACTTGCAATCCTCCTGCCTCAGCCTCCTGGGTAGCTAGGATTACAGTTGTGCACCACCATACCAGGCAGAGATTAAGGATTTCCCATCTGAAATGGCCTGTTTTGAAGGGGTTTTCCTGCCTCAGAAAATCAGATACCTCCATGAATCACCGTACGTAGTTTTTTACTTCTTAGTAGCTCAAACATGAATTAATGTGCCCAGAGGTCTTCTATGAACTTAGCACCTCTCAGGTGAGCAAAACAGATGAGCTCAATGTGCACCAGGTGCTGTTCTAGGTGCAGCTATTATCTTCTCCTTGTTTCTGTTCCACAGTGGGACAGGATGCTCTCCAGGGCAGAGAGTTTGCATGCTGAGACACAGAAATGTGTCACATGGTCGGCACAGAGATTAATATAAATAAGCACATTTTTCTACAACATCACAGTTTAAATTTTGTTTGCCTTTCTTTTTCCCTTTTGGGTTAAGAATAAGGAAGGAGCTTCCCTCTGCCCCATTCATGGATTCCCAGATGCCTCTCCATCCCAGCCCTCCCCCAGCCCTCAGCCATACCTTCAACTTTGGGCTTGGCCTCAGTCAGTCGGTCCTGGAACTTCTTCTTAAAGAAGAGGGCCTGCAGTCGCTGCTGATAGTGGTCGATCCTGTGGACAGAGTGAGCTACATCAGAAGGCCACCGCCACCAGCCCCAGCCCCAGGAGCCAGCTCTGGCCCCCTCTTGGGCCCGCCACCTCCTTCCCGTTTCCCCAACCTGCTCATCTCATAGAGGAAGCGGTCGGCGCGGGCCATGCGCTCCAGCTCGTGTTTGTGCTCCTCCAGGAGGTCAACGTCACTCTTCTCCGGGATGAACTTGAGGAGCTGCAAAGAGCAGGGGCAAGTCAGACAAGAACCTGGTGAGCAGCTGGGAGGGGGTGCAGAGCATGAGAAGCCCAGTTGCTCGGATGGGTGCACCAGACGAGGAGGGCTCAGAGACAGGTGCTCTCGTGTGGACCAGTGCTGAGAGGATGGCACCTCTTTCTTTTTTCTTTTCGCCTTTTAAAACAGATATAGCTTACATACAGTGACGTACATTATTCTGAATTAAAATTAAGTGATTACTTAAAATCAGTAATTCCACACAGCTGGATGATTTTTCTTTTTGAGCAAACTTTATTGCGCTATAATCTCCATGAAATAAAATGTACCCATTTTAAATGTGCAGTTCATTGGGTTTTGTCAAGACCTTCCACTGTACAGTAAGAATAAAGTAAAAAATATTCCCTTCCCCTTAGAGAGTTCCCTTGCTTCATTTCAGAAAGCCCCCTAATACAGCTCAGCTGAATTGTATCACCTTAAACACCGTATAAACAACCTCATTCTGTGTGCTATGGATTAACATGGCCCCCAAATGTCACGTGTTGGAAATTTAATCCCCAAATCACATGTGAATGATATTCAGAGATGGGCCTTTGGGAGGAAAGTAGGATTAGATGAGATCACTAGGGTGGGGCGTCCATAATGGTATGAGTGGCTTTATCATAAGAGGCAAAGGGACCCAAGAAGCATGCTTGCTCTGTCCCATCACGGGATGCCTTCCACCTTGCTATGCTGTGGCACGAGGTCCCCACCAGATGCCAAGCAGATTTCCAGCCTCCAGAACTATGAGCTAAATAGATAAACTTCTATTATTTATAAATTAGTCAGTTTCACATATTTTGTTATAGCACAGAAAATGGGCTATGATGCTATATGGTGTTTTGTTTTGTTTTGTTCAACATAAAGTCTAAGATTCATCCTTACTGTGTATTGGTAATTTGGTACTTATTTATTGCTAATACCAGACTATTTATTCTATTTATTTATAACAACTTTCCTATCAATGGACAGTTGTTCACACCTTGGGGGCTTTATAAATAAAGTTGCTATAAATATTCTGGTGTATGTATTTTAGTCAGTATTGGTACCAGTTCCTCTTGTGCCTACACTGAAGTGCGGGGTTAGTGGGCAGAGGGTAGGCGGGTGTTTAGCCTCCACATGCACCGCCTGAGAATCTCAATGGTTTCATGTCCTCACAGCACCTGGTACTGTCCATCTTCCTAATTTTAGCTACTGGGGTGTGTATTAGCTACTCCTGTGGCTCCTGGTCTCTCTAATGGCCAATAGCACTGTGTACCTTTTCACAAGTTCACTGGCCACTTGGAAATCCTCTTTCATTAAGTGCTTCATCAAGTCTTTTGCTTATTTTTAAAAGTTGATGTGTTTGCCATTTTTTCATTGATGTGTAGGGGTGTGTGTGTGTGTGTGTACACACATGTGTACGGCAATAAACTTCTTCTTGGCTTGTCTTTTCATTCTAGTAACAGTGCCTTTGATAGATGGTGGCTCTTAATTTTAATGAAATCCAATTGTTTTCTAGGTTTCTCTTAAAGGACACAGCAAATTGAGGTAGAAGAGATTTGGGAAGATGTGACCACTGTTCACCCTGAGTTTGCTTTGAGACCTCATACCTCCTTCCAGAGGGCTCAAGGATCCCTGGCAGCCTTTTCCACCCTTCCCCCAGAAAGGTTAGTCCAGGGAAGTTTCTAGAAACCTTTTCCCCAACTACTCCAGCCTGCCTTCTCCTTGCCCCAAGAGTCTCAGCCTCTCTGGGGGCTGTGGGGAAGGGGTGGGGCTGGCTATCCCCAGGTTCAGCTCCCTTCCTTCCCATGAGGTTCCTCACCTGCTCCAGCATGTCCTTAGCAAGGTCCTCCTGCTCATCCATCTTCAAAATGGCCTGCCGGATCTCCTCGTTAGAAAGCTTCAACCTGAGACAAAGCCCACCACTGAGCAGCCCGGTCTGGCCCCTCAGCTAAGACACCCCCAAACCTCCTTCTCCAGATGACACAGTCTCAGCCTCTTATCTGTCCTGAACGTGGACTTGGGAGTATGCTGATGGCGCTCTGTCCACGCCTTATTAGACTAAACTAATATGAGTCATCCCATCTACTTGAAAACAGGTATTTTAGTGTCTCAGTGGAGACATGAGCCACTGGTGTCTTGCTTGAGGCTTTGTCAGAGCTGCCAGGGGCATTTGGGTGTAGAAGGGACATCACCAGTGCAGACTCCTCCTCATGCCTAAAGATCTATAGCACCGCCATGGAGGACAGGCCTTCTGAGGGGAGTTTCCTCCCCCTTTCATTCTCAGGAGACAGAGTTGCTCTCGGTCCCTGACAGTTCCTGGCTCCCACACAGCTGCTCCAATCAGTCTTGCCGTCTGGGACAGGGAGAAGCCAGCCCCCTACACGCCTGACAGCCTTCCCCAGCCCCTCCATATGCACACCCACACCCACGGGAGCCCCAGAGATCCAGCACATCCCACCATCAAATGAAAGAAACTGAGGCTTGGGGCCTTGTGGGAGCACAGAGGGGCAGATGTCCCAGAGGCAACTGGGGGCAACACTAAGAATAGTACGGGAGGCAGTGCCCCTGACCCTGACTGGGGGAGGCCCCGCACAGAAGCTGTGCTGTTAGTGCAGATACTGCCCTGTTTGTTCTGCGGGAGCGGGAAATGCCTAGGGGCTGAGATCATGCTGCTCTGTGGCCTGAGCTGAGTGGGGCCCTCCATGGGCTTAGAGCAGCTCAGCTGCCAGACGCTGACCAGGCTGGTCAGGGGCCTGGTGACTGGGGCAGTTTCCTGTTTGCACAGCCCCAGGCTGCTGCTTAATGAGGGATTCCCAGGAGAGGACTCTAGATCAGTGTCCATTCCCTTCCCCAGGGACAGCAAAGGAGGAGGCCAGAGATGCCATCACCCCATTCCTCTGCCACCCCTCTTGTTAGACACTCAGCGCAACTTCCTTCTGCCTTAGCCCCATCTTGGACCGTGCTCCCTGGAGGGCCCACTCTTTCCCAGCAGAACCTCTCTTGGAGGGGCCTTAGGGACAGGGCTAGCACGTACTTGGAGAGAAGAATGATACAGTTCTGCGCCCTCCGGCCATCAATGACTGACAGCTCTTTGACCTTGCGGGAGGCCAGGTAGATGTCCTCTGTGGAGCCCAACTCCTTCTGCAATGAGTCCAGGGGAAGCACTGAGATGTATGCCTTCCCCAGTCGTCTTCTTGACCACCCGCCAGGAGCCACCCTCCTACCAACCTGGGGATACTTAGAACAGAAGGCGGAGGAAGGAGGAAAGAAGAAGATGGAGGAGAGGACAGTGTTGAATAACTAGCTCTCACAGGAAGGATCTGGGATTTTATCATAAGCTAGAAAGCATTGGTGGAGAGAGTGAAGACCACCCTTTTAGACATTATCCTCCCTGGGTAACCTGTGGAAGGGGCTGTTCTAATGGGGAGAGGTCTGACTGATCCCTGTGACTTTAGGTAATGTGACATGACCTACCATGTCCCCCACAAGATCAAGCCCCACTCATCATGCCCTCCTCTCAGACAACCCCCCCAAGCTGATCATGAGACGTTGGTCCAAGCCCCATAAGGCCACGGCCTCCAACTCCCAGGGATTTCAGGTGATGCCCAACATGCCCAGGGCAAAGGGCATCCATGTGGCTAGGGGTGCAGAAACTGGGGCAAAATTCCAAGCAGAATTCTCCCCTCTGGGGTTCCAGCAGATTCTCAAGAACTCAAAGATTCTACCCCTTCTTGCCTTGGGCCTTGGAGAGGGAGATGGTGAGGCTCTCGGGTGGACTCTGCCTACTCTGGAGACTTCCTCCACAGAACCTGTGTGGCTCCATGGTGCCCAGCTCCAGGGGCCGCTACTCACATGTTTATCTTTGGAAGTTAGGCCCCTGGAGTTGGCAGTGCCCACCCAGGCAGACCTTCAGGAAAGCCTCGCCGTGGGCCTGGCAGGAGAGACGCAGACCGAGAAGCTTTCTCCTTTCTCCCTAAACAGCCCCCATTGCTGGCGGAGGTCTTCTGCACCACCCTCCCTTTCCTACGTTTCTTTTTTCTCTTTGGGGGCCCTCCTGCATGCCCCCCTATCTGGATGTCCACAGATGAGTAAGAAGGTAGGAGGTGAAATGGGCAAGCCCTTGTTTTGGGCCCACTTCAGGGCATCAGCCCAGGAGAGTGGTTAAAACCTGAAGTGATGAGAGCCCTGAGAGTGACTCACCTGCTGAGGAGGATTAGTTATCAGCTCCTAGGTAGGCAGCAGCCACAGCCAACAGAGAATTAAACATGCACAACGTTAGTCAAAAGTTTTGGGGACCTGGAGCAGCAGGACAGACATGGGCACCCTCAGCATCTACACTGTCCACTTGTCCCCTGGAGACCCCCATGATTGGAAACAGGAACCCAGAAGTAGCCCTGGACATGCACCACAGAGAAGCCAGACATGCAGAGATCAGGCAGCTCCTCCCCATGCTCTGGGCCCAGCTGATCCTCCATCAGGGGAGCAAGCTGAGCTCCCCCAGCCCAGGCCTTGACACCCACTCTTCCCTCTCCTCTGCTGAGAATCTGCCCAGAGGGCAGAGGGCATCTCTCCGCCTGGCATGAGCTCCTCTTTCTCATCATAGGTGAGAACTTGAAACGGAGCTTGTGGAAGCTGTGTGCATCAGGGCAGGGGGGCAGGTCTCCCTAGCTTGCTCCTTGCCCTTTATCCTTCAGTGTCTAAGGGAACCAAGAAGGCACAGCTGCATCTGTGTCCTCCCTTCCTGACCCTGATGGAGTTGAAGCTACCAACTCAGAACCTGCCCAGGACACAGAGGGAAGGCCATGGCTCCCAGGACCTCCCCTGGCCCACCACCCACCATCCAGGACCTGGAGACAGGAAGAGGAGGTGACAAGGGAAACACAGACCCTGAGGTCACCCCAGTTTGGCTGCTGTCATTTCAGTTACAGAGACTGGGCTGCTCCTGAGTGACAGTATTCTGGCTGAACCCAGCCCCGGATCAGGGCTGCACTGACTAGGCTCCGAGGGGTGAGGCAGGCCGAGCACGGGTCTTTCAGTCTTAACTCCTGCTCAACTCATCAAACCAGAAGGCCCCACACCCAGCTTGTCCTAAACCTCACACCGACTCTTCTGACTGATCCCCAGCCCAGCCACCACAGAGCCTTGGAGACTGGCCAGGCCAGGCCAGAACTCTGACCTGAAGGAAGACTCTCAAACTAGGGGAGGTGAGTGATGATCACACCTGACTCCCACCCATTCCTGCACACTCCCTCTGTCCCCAGAACCCACCAGGGAGCTCCAGTTCCCACGAGCACCATGCTCAGCAGGGCTCCTTTAGTCCCCACAGCCCTGGCCACTCCCAGTGGGCATGCCAGCCTGACCCAGATATTGGCTCCTGGAATTAGGAGTGGACCTTCAAATGCCTTGGTACCTACAACTAAATAAACAGTCACTTGTTTTTTTCTAGAATCCCAAGATGGCCTGAGCCTGACACCACCCCCACCTCTTTGACCAGAGCCCAGGGAGAACAGTCACACATGTCCTTGGCCCTGATTGCCCTCCGGAAGGGTCATCCACAGGCCCGAGCAGGGTAGGACACCTGTGGGAGCAAGGTCATAGCATCTAGCCACTGCCCAGGACCCAGGAGGCCCAAGACCCATCACTGGTACTAGAAGTCCTCCAGTCTGGAAGCCTGGACTGAGCAGAGAGAACAGGAGGATGGTAACACAACCCCAGCAGGAGGCAGCCCCTGGGAGCAGGCCAGAGAGAAAGCAAGGGCCTTCCAGCCTCAGACTGGGTGTTCTCAAACTGGACTTAATGGGGAAGGGCCCCAGATGTGCTAGTTACACTCAGACTCCTGACCCTCCACCCATGTCATGAAGTACATTCGATACTTGAGGATGGGGTCTGAGAATCAGCACTTCTGGCTTCTCCGCAGGTGCCCAGCACAGTCGAAGGCCTATGCCTCAGGAATGCCCTGTGTTTGGCCACCAACCTACTCCCCTAACTTTGTAGCTTTAGAGCCAGACTCTGTCCAGCTGTGTGTACATAGAGCCAGTGGAGCAGACCAGGGCCTCTCCTGGCCTTTGAGGGCCTGGTCCAGCTTAAGCCCCCTGATGTGACATAGAGCAGCACCCCCCGGAACCCCTCCTTCCTTGCAGTGTTAACATCTTCTGCTCAACAGACCATGGTGGGGGTGTTGGGAGATAAGAACATGGTTGGAAAAGTGGTTTGAAAGTTACACAACTTCTAGGTTAGTCTCCAAATCCCAGGCCAAACAGTAAGGGTCAGTGGTGGCCAGGCCTTGGGACTCTACCTCCAGTACCCCAGGATGACAATGAGAAATGGCATCATACTACTTCGTCATTTGGTCTGTAACTAAAACATTGTGGCATTTCCCTTGCTGGACTACACACCTCCCATTCTTATCTAGGTCCTCAGTACAAACATGGAATCTCATCAAGAACAAAATCATTCAGAATTCATGTGCAGAAGGAAAAACCAATCGGGGAGGGGAGGAGGGAGGGAGGGAGGTAAAGAGGAAGGGGACAGGATGGTAAGAGGAAGGCGAGGGTCTGACTTCCAAGAGTGTGGAGTGTGGAATTAAGACCAGAAGTCAAGGCCCAAGAGGCCAGAGGGAGCAAGGTCTTACCTGGTGCCTCTGATAGGCGGAAAACATTTTTTCAAAATCCTCTAGGTCCAGAATCTGAAATACCTGCATGTCATCAATCTCATTCCATATGGTGCCAGGGACACGCTCCTAGGATTCAGGACAGGGGAAAAAAAAAAAAAAAAAAAACCTATGATTGATCTAACGCCTTCATCAGGAAGATGCCCAATGCATCTGTCCCCTAGGGACACCTACTACAATGGCCAGGCTTTCAGACCTTCAGAAAGGGGTCAGTTCCTACCCCTCCAACCTCTGCCCCTCTTTAACATGCTGCTCCAGGGTAGAGCCCCAAGACAGCTTCCTTCTCTTCCCTTTCATGGGGGCCACTGTAAGCTCATCTCAGAAATCACTGGAAGCACTGAGTGATGGGTAGGAGACAGGAAAGCAGAGGAACCGGCCACCTGCATGGGCCGACTCTCCACAAAGGGCAGAGTTGGCTAGAAGCTGCTCCCGCCCTGGTTGGAATCCCTGGGAGGATCAGAGTGCACACAGATTTGGGATCCTCAAAGCTTTTCCACAGGCTGCATTTCCTGTTTGAGATGGCTGGCTATTTCATTTCCCAAGGTCTTCCTCCTCCTCTCCCAGATAACCAAAAAGTGGATGAATGCCAAAGGTTGGGACACCCTGGCCCCTGTAGTGACTGCTCAGAACATCCAGGCTTTGCCACAACTTCCTGTGGTCAGACCCAGGGAAGGTGTCCCCATCCTTAATGACTGGGATGGGCCCAGAACTTTCTGTCCTAATGTCTCTCAGTTGAGACAGTACCACCCTCCCTGTAGGACCCTTGCACTGGGGTCTGGAAAGGACCCGTTAGCCAAGCCAGAAACAGTCCAGCAGTCTCGTGACACTCTGATAATGGCTTAGGAGACAGCAGTATGGACTAAGAGGACTTGAGTGTGGTGCACCCTCCCCCACCAGTATGCTCCACCCTTGGGCTCCTGGGAATCTTCACCTCATCCAGAGCATGCTGTCCTTGAAAAGAGAACCTCCCGCCCTCCTCTTCCTAGAGGGCAGCCAGGGGACCTTCTGAATACCTCCTCCTCGTCCCCCTCAGCGAGGCTTGGAGAGAGAAGCGTACCTTTCACTCACTCTTATTTTCTTAAACTCTGAAAGGGGGAGGCTAGGCTAGAGTCAGGGGGTGGGGACATTCCTGTGGCCTTCTGAAGGCCAGGGACCCTCGTGAGGAATGCCTGGCTGGGAAGCTCAGAGCAGTAAGGAATACAGGCAACTGGCCAAACCCAACACAGACGCATTCTTTTCATGGCAGAAAAGACCAGAGTGAGTGTGTGTGTACATACATACCCAGGAGCATGCGTGGGGTAGAGGAAGGAGACTGGGGAGAGGGACTGGGCTCCTGGCAAGGGGATGTAGGAGGAAGAGAGAGATGGGAGGGGGACCTGAATCAGAGAAGCAGGGAGGGGCGCTGGCTGCAGGAGTGTGGGGCGCTGAGTGACCCAGCATCGTCGCCTTGACAGGAAAACCACATAAATCCAGGCCTGGGGGTGGAGGTGGGGAGAGGGAGGCCCACAGAGCTAAATCTTCCCATCCTCCTTATTCTTCATGAGGTCAGGTTAAGAAGAAAGGGCTAGAACAGAGCGCTGGGTGTCTAACATGGGGAAGAACTTCCCGTGAGGCACCAGACAGATCACCTGGGCCCTCTCTCATTTTCTCCAAACACAGCCCCCCTACCCCAGCTTCCTCACATCTTCCAGAAGGATTTGTGGCTCTTCCTGGAGGTCTTCCTGAGGTCTGGAGCCAGAGAGAGGTCAGTGTGTTCCTGATATTCTCCACGACCTAACCGTCATTGCATCACCCCGAGGTGCCCATCGTGTATCATAATTCCCAAATTTAGTTTTTCCATCACCCTGGCCAAGACCCCATCATCTCTAGTCTTGATTCCTGGGACTTCTGGACCTCTACAGTTAGCCTTTATCTTTCTCAGAAACACATTTCATCACATCTTCCTCATAGAGCATTGCCTGTGGGAACAGGCTGAGCCGGCGGGCTGACGTCCCCAGCCCTGCCACCACGTGGGTCTGTGGGCACAGAGGGATTCTCTTCTTACCCACGTCACACAAAAAGAAGCTGAGTCTCAGGATGCCTACCTCCCTGGGTCATCGTGACAGCATACTTAGGGCACACATGGCAGTGCCACTAATAACTAATCTGACATTATTATTATTAGGGCTTCCTATGTGTCAAGTCTCTGTTTGAGTCTTTAACATATATTAATTCAAGTGATCCTCACAACCACCTTTTGAAATGGATATCAGCATTAAAGCCCAAACAATTAAAAAATCTGCCCTTTTTGCACAATTAAAAAATTAGGGACAGGATAGCAAGTTCTCAAATACTTCTCAATGCCCCTCTACCCTGCTCTGCCAAGAAAGTCTACAATTCCCATGAATGTTCCCAGGCATCCACTCCATCAAAATGACACCTTCCCGTCTGGTAATGATGCTTTGGCCTGCTTTGGCCTGCTCTGGCCTGCTCTGGCCTGCTCTGGGTCCCTAGGGAATTCATGTGGCCTTTACTATTAGTGGACCCCAGAGAAAATCCTAAGCCCAAAGCTCCCTAACAGTGAAAAGTTCCTCCCCTAAAATCAGCTGCTTTGTGTGGATTCCTTAACCATGAGCACACATGAGAACTTAAAATGACATTTTTAAAACCTTAAATTTTTGGTAAGCATGGGAGACAAAAATATTATTTCTCCTTGACCACAATAAAAAACGTTGAGTCTGCTCATGAACCGTAATCATTCCCACATAGCAATGGCTTTGGGTCTAGAGAGCCCTCTGCCTTCTGAGCTATCATTGCTTTTCTGGCCATGGAGAAGCATCCACGGGCCACAACTGTGCAGTACAGCTGTCCTGAGTTTTTACAGTCTTGTTTTTAAATGCTGCTAACAGGTGACTCTAAAACCCAACCACTTGGGTATGATCGGAGGCCTGGGAGACTATAAGGGAGATGTGTCCACGCTGTGGGTTTCACATAGTTTAGAAGACCAGAGGTGGAAGGAATCGTAGAGATGGCCTCGCAGAGAAGAAACTGAGTTACAGATGAGTGATGTAGACAGGTAGTTGAGTCAAACTGGGTTTGGTTCAAAGTTCAAACCTCTCCCCTGACCCATGTGGTCAAGATCTCTAGCTGTTTCCTAACCACCTTCCTAATTTGCCAGATTCTAAGCTCTCATGGGGCAGTGCCATCTCTCACCTTTAGCATTATCATATCCCCAGTGGAAAGTTCTAGGCAAAGCAGACCTCAGCCTGGCTGGCCAGCTAGTCCACCATCAGGAAGGGCCATCTAACCAACAGCAGGCCCCTGGCTTAGAAATCTCTATCTACTTATCTCTCCTCCCGCCTTAAGTCTCCATCTGAGTTCACTGACACTCCAACACAATGCTAAGTTATGGATTCCCTGTGAGTTAGTTCAACAGGCCCCTATAACCGAGTCCAAGGAGATCCATGAACCCCAGCCCCAAGTTGGTGCCTTCACGGCATGGCCAGGGTAGCAGAAACCAGTTACCCTGAGTGTATTTGTCCCGGGGACCAAACCAGTGGTTCTCTTAGTAAGATTTGCCATTATTCAAGAACCAGGGGGAGGACTTTGTCCAAATTGTTCAATTATTAGGGGTCCACTGAGACCCGGGGCATCTATAAGCTTGTGAATCAATAGAAGAATCAACTCCCACCCCTGGGCCTGGGATTGGTGATTATTAGTGATTATTGGTGATTTATTAGAGGGCCTCTCACTGTTGCTCTAGAAATGTAAACACCGTATGCAGCTCTCCCAGGAGGAGGCCAAAGTGGCTCTATCTTCCCGTTGAACTCTTCAGTCCTTTGTACACACTGCCCTGATCTTCACCAACATCTGGACCTCAGCCCCAGTTCTGCCTATATTTTCCACCCTTTCCCTCAAATCAACCCTCTCCTTGAAATTCTAGCCCAGCCCTGTTGTGTCCAGAGAGCAGCCTGCCTGGCGCAGGCCCTGAGCTCTCTGCCACTCTGTCAGCCCTCAGCACACACAAGCTCCTCTTCCAGGTAGCCTTGTTGACATGGGCAGAGCACACGCCTAGCATCTCTCCCAATGCAGACGTTCTCCCCAGGGCACCGTGAGCTGCTGGCTGCAGCAACCCTCTCATCTGCATCAACTGTGACTCCATCCCCCCACCACCAAAGATGGAGCCCAACCCTGGGGAAGACGTCAAGCAATAGACAATGCAGAGGTCTGACCTCCACTGGCTGCAGGAGAATGGACCAGCTGCCCCCTTCCTGGCCACTCACCTCATTCAGCTTGACCCAGTTGAAGGACTTCAGTGGGTGGGAAGGTTGGGGGACACGCTTTTTCCTGAGTGGGACATCACTGCTGGGGAAGGGGTCCTGAGGGAGGGGGAGGCCCATGCTGAAGCAAGGTGGGGCGCCGGGGGGTGTGGGAGGCCCTCCAGGTGGTGGGGGTGGGGGTGGAGGTGGGGGGCAACAGGAAAAGGGGAGAGGAGGTGGGGGTGGAGGCAGGTCGTTGGTTGTCACCGACGAAGACAAGGGAAGTGGACCTCCAGGGGGAGGGGGGGAAGATACAGGGCCCGTCTGTAAGGAGACAGAAAAATCAAAAGGTTCAAGCCATCAGCATTGATGCCAACCAGTTCCCACCACCATTTCCCTCTTTACTTAGTTTCCATCTATCCTAGACCCCAAATCCTGCTCTTACCTCCCACATAGTCAAACAGACACTGGAAAATCAGTCACAGTCATCACAATAAAGCAGCTGGGTTGGTGCATACAGTTGTTCATGCTACAGACTGCACAAGGATATCCAGCTGCGAGGGTAAGGGGGAGCAGATATCCCACCCGCACTTTCCCATCCAAGGGCCTTTCCTGGGATAATGTCATCCAGAGCAAGGGGCATTGTGTTTCTAATGAACACAAGGTGGCACACATACAGCCTCAGGGGTCCTTTGGGTCCTGACCTGAGTCCCCCTTTCTTTTCTCCTTCATTTTGGGGGCCTTGGCTCCTCCCCACGCCTACTCTCCCCACCCTGTTCCAAAGCCTAGGGTCTCAGCTGAGCCACATCAAAGGGAAGAGAGTGACCACATACCGAGATCTCACTGAGTTGGGCGACCAGCTCTGCCACTTGTCCCTTAGCCTGACGCAGCTCCTGGGACTCTCGGGCCAGCTTGTCCTTCATCTTGTTCAGCGTCCGCATCATCTCTTCCTTCTCCAGCGTCTTGGTCTCACACTCCCGCTCCTTTCTCTCCAGCCGACTCACAAGCTCCATGTGTTCTGGCATGGGGGAGGGGCCAGGGAGGAGGAGGAGCGGGTGTGGGTCTGCAGCCCTCTCCATGGCAGGAGATGGGGTCCCAGGTGGGGCTGGGGGTGGGGAGCGCAGCAGGCTTGGGCAGAACCTCTCACCTTTCCGGAACTTCTCAGCCTGGTCACGCCACTGTTTCACCTCATTCTCATTGATGAGCCTGGTGAAGTGGGGGAGCGAAAGGAAGGGGGCCATGTGACCCTTGCCCAGCATTCACAGCTCCCAGAAGACAGGCCCTGTGTTCATGTACCCTGATCTCCAAACTGCCTAGCCACGTCAAGGAGGCAGGAATTTTAACTTCTCCGATCTCTGTCCAGGTCTCTGTTCTTGCCCAGTCCTCACATAGAGTAGGAAGGACCTGGAGACACCTTATAAGCTAAGTCTTTGAAGCAACTGAGACTCAGAGAACAGAGATGGGGATGACAGCTAACCCACGGCAGAACTAGGACTGCATCTCATGCTTTCCTTAGTTGTACGACTCTCGTATCCCTTTATAAAAATAGGCCTGTGCATCTGAGATAGAAATGCTAGCTCTATCATGGTGCAGGCTTCCAAAGACCAATGTGTAACAACAAGAGAAACTGCTCACCCCCCAAAACACAGAACAAGTAGGTAGAGAGGGGACACATCTAAAATACAGGATGTCCTCATTCATGTCAGACTCCTGTCACAAGGTAGCAGAAGTAAGCTTTTACCTAGACATCAAGATATATGAGGGTTAAGATGCAAAGTGAGATCCCACAGTCTTTTGTTTTGTGAATGTGAATGTGTGAGCCAGTTAGATCCACGACTTTTGGCCTGCTCAACCACATCAAGGAGAGAAAGAGGGAGGGGGTATAGAGAGGGGAAGGATTTGGTGATGGGATTTCTTTGCAGTGATTGCTGTGGTCACTGGGATGCTACCTCCTCCTCCACCATCCAGGAAAGGGTTTTCTCTGGGCCCATGAGTTTTGGGCCCAGGTTCCCTGACAAAAGGAGGGAGACAGAGTAGACTGGGTTCTGGCTTGGACCCAGGAAATCCAGTGGGTGGAGGAGAATTGATCAGGAAAGGCTGATGAGCTGGGAGCTGCTGGCACTCCTAGGTTTCCTGCCATGAGAGGTGTAAAAATTGCCCATGGGCCAGACACGAGCCTCAGGGAGGAACTGGGCTGTAGCCACTGTAAGTCCTGCCCAAGGGTCCACCTGGGAGGAAACTGGGAAGTCCACACTGTGAGTCGATGTGCACAGGACAGCCAGTGACACAGGGGCTGATGGGATGGCTGGAAGCAGCCAGCCAGAGAGCTGGGGAAACCCCCGAATGGCCACGAGCTGGCTATTGCAGTGAGAAGCACCCAGCAAGGGGCTACTGAAGATCCCAGGAACACATGACATCTTGATGCCTGAGCTGTGCTCAGAGAGCAGGAAGATGTTGCCTGATCAATCAATAATGACCTTTTCCCATTCTCCTTCTTGCCCCAAGGCTGCCTTTAGAAGGGTCAGAAACTGACTAGCTGGTGGAAAGAGGGGTGGGAAATAGAAGGAATTAGAAGAGAAATGGAATAGATCAAAGAAGCCAACATCTCTCTCACACACACATCTCAGCCTCCCCAGGCCCCAGTCAGTAAAGGGGAGAGATTGAAAGCTTTATCAAGCCCAGAAGTCCTTTTACACCTAGGACTAGCCCTCCTGGCCGCAACAACTTAACGTGATCTTAGGACTTCCATTGCCCAAGAAACAGCAAAGCCTTTGCTAGACCTAATGAGTTGACATTCTCTGGTAGTAGAAAAGCTTCCCCTCTGATAGTGTAAAAAAATTAGCAGAAAATAAAACAAGCTGCCTTTTGATTGCTTTACTAGTTGCCCTGGCCCAACATACCCGTTCAGGTTTTAACTAAATCAATATCCGATGAATTGTGCAAAGGAAAACAATATTCAGAATTCACATTCTACATGGCATCAGAAAGCAATATAATGATTCAATGAGAGCCCAATTATCTCCTTAAGAAAAACTGGCTCAGAATCATACCCAAAGTTAAGTAAAAGTTTAAAATTAAAAATCAGTGTGTTAGCTAGGCATGGTGATGCATGCCTGTAATCCCAGCAGCTCAGGAGGCTAGGACAGGAGGACTGCAAGTTCAAAGCCAGCCTCAGCAATGTAGCGAGAGTGTAAGCAACCTAGTAAGACTCTATCTCAAAATTGAAAAAAAAAAAAAAAGGGGGATGTGGCTTAGTAGTTGAGTTCCCTGAATTCAATCCCTGGTACAAAAGAAAAAAATAGTTAGCATGTTAAGGTCATTTTATTAATTAACAGGTGTAAATTTAGATTCTCTGTATTCCTCTATATCCAGGGTGGGTAAAATATAAGCCAGATGGTTTCAGGCTCTGACCACCTCATTCAACAGGCTCATGGTCAAATGGCCATGCTCTCTGTCAGTGGTGGGCAAACTTTCTGTAATGGGCCAGAGTAAATATTTTAGGTTTTTACACACCATGTCTAGTCTCTGTCACATATTCTTGCGTTTGTGTTTAAAATACAAAAGTTACTCTTAGCTCATGGGCCATATAAAAACAAGCTGGAAGGTGGAAGTTAGCCCATGTGCCACAGTTTCCTGCCCAGCGCCGTGTGGACTTGTTTAAATAACCCCTGCATCCAACCCACACAGGGTCATCGAGAGTCGAGAACACAACCTACACACCTGTGCTGCCTGACGGTAATCATTGGCCACATGTCATGTTGCTGTTCAAATTTAAAATTCAGTTCCTCAGTCACACTAGCCACAGGTCAAGTACTCAATAGCCACATTTGGCTCCTGCATTGGACAGTTCAGATGTGCAGCTTCTCCTTTATCCTGGAGAGTTCGACTGAACAATGCTGCTCACCTGGGGGTGTCTGGGTAGAGAGAGGGAGCGGAGGCGGCACTGGTGAGACCCAGAGTGGGAGAGAGACAGATCAAAGGCCGGCCACGACTCACATGTTAACGATGTTCTTGACATTGAAGTTCTCCAGTGGAGCCAGGTCAGGGTCTACACCTCGCTCATCCTGGAGGACAATCTGCTGGAGGATCCGATCCAGGAGCTGCCACTGCTGGAAGTAGCCTCCGTTCCGCTTGTCTGAGGGAAGACAGCCCCATATCTGTAACGCAGCCCTGGAGATCCTGGAGACACCGCCCCAGAGGGACCTCCGAGGCTCTGCTGGTGAGGCACCCCTTCCTCCTGCTCGGTAAGCTCCTAGTCTGATGGAAGGTGCGATGCCGCGGTGAGAATGGAGACCCCCGAACCCAGCCGTCTCCTGATTACCTGCAGTGGACCTTCTGTGAACCATCAACCCTGCTAACGTACTTCTCTCTCTATGAAATGCTTCCTGGCTGCCTTTCTTCCCTCTTGGGACCCCGGCCATACTATACTCTCAGAATGTAAATTGCTTTTTACATTATCTATGAGAAGCACCTGTTCTGAAATATTACATGCTCTAAATAATGAAGTCTTCTGGGGAAGATTTTTTTAAAAGATTTTAGGATTATCTATGTTATTGCTCTACAGAGGAAGATGAAAGGAAACTGATTACAGGTGTGCACAGAGAGCACCTCAAAATGAGTCAAAGAAGTGGTTAATGGAACCCAGGAGGATTTCTTGGCTGAGGTGACCTTGAACTATGAAGGCAAAGGCATGATACACTGTGCCTGACCTCACAAGGCCCCACTCCCATCCTCTCGAGTCCTAGTCCAGCTCGACATGACAGACCCTAGGTCTTCTCTGGTCCTTGAGGCCACGCACTTCATCTCCACAGACCCCCAACAGAAGTCAACCAATGCAATCCTGACTTCAAATTCCATCCAAGAGTTGACAGATTGTCTTCAAAACCTCATTTGGGGGCAGAGTAGAGAGACCCGTGCGCATTGCCCATGGAACACCAGACTTGGGAACCACTGGGAGCAAAAGCAGCCAGCGTTCTGGGGCCTTCCCCGTCTTCCCTGATGACCTTCTGAGCTGAGTTTTAGAGAACTGATCACTTCCTGGTCCCACTCACTGTCTCTGTCTTACTTTCCACTGTTTCACCAACACATGCGTTACCAAGTGACAGTGTCGCTCATTTACTTTTCACCAGGTAAAAAGAACATTTTTCACCTAAAGTCCTATCCCCAAAGAAAGGAAAATTCTCTACGGAAGAACTTGTTTAGCCTCAGATCCATTGGTTGCAAAATGGAGACAAAATTGCAAACCTTAGTATACAGTTCTCAGGTCATTCTGAAGTTCAGGGATGATATGCTAAAGAACCTCACGTCATGTCAGGCCCAAAGTTGGCACACAATAAATTGTATCTGTAGACACCATCCCTGGGATCACCAAACCTCTATCACCACCAATTCAGCTGGCCATTAGGATGGGCCACAGGAATACAAAAAAATATTCTGCTTTGTGAAAAGCTAGAGTACCAAGTGGTGTAGTTAAAGCTCATTTCAACCTGCATCCTGGGGTTGCTGTTGGTAATTTAATCAATCACTGCACACACCTGTATCTTAAGAACTTAGACACCTGCTTCTGAGATGCTATTTGGGATACCTAAAGAAGCAGGGGCAAAGGCGTTAGGGTGAGAGTCAGCAAAGACTAAATAAAAAAGTGATAGAACCTTAAAAAAAAAAAAAAAAAAAAGAACATGCTCATTGCACATCTTAGCTACCTCTGCAAGCACAAAACTTCTTTTGAGAATTAAGATGGTCTTTGTCATGAAGAAATAGCAGAGCTATTTGATTTTGCAATGATCAAGCTACTGTTTTGTTGACAAGGATGTTAGAGTTGCTCAGGCCCAATCCCAGCTCCTCTACTGGGTGACACTGGACATCGTGACCCCCAAGGAGGGAGGTAAGGGAGGGGCCTGCATCATGTGGTCTGGCCTCCCAAGGGTAAGTGCAGAGGGATATGTGGGCAGTCTCACCTGCCCAGAGAGGTCCCATCTCAACCTGCCCCGGGGGGATCTCAGGCCCAGTAGGCAAGCATGAGCGCAGGGTACTCACAGGGCATCTGCAGGCAGTGGTGCAGGACAGACAGCAGGCATGGGTAGGCCTCAGTGTGCTTCAGCTTCTTGTGGATCAGATCGAACATCTGGGAAGCACTCTTGGTGTCGATGTGCACCTGAGGGAACAGGGGCATGCTGAGTGGGGACAGACAGGCAGCAGAGAAAGAGAAGAGCGGGGAGAAAGCCCTGCTTCCTTCCTCGCTGCCTCCTCTCTCAGGACAGCTTTTCTCCCACACTTCTGGCTGAGACTTAAAAAGGAGGAGGGCAGGGATGTTAATCACCTAAACCAGGGACATTGTCACCGTGGGCTGGATGACTGCCTGCTGTTGGAGCCATCCTGTGCACTGCAGGATGTGCAGCAATGTCCTTGACCTCTGCCCACCAGATACCAGTGGCATCCTCCCCTGCGCCTCCCTAAGTTGTCACAATCAAAAACTTCTCCAGCTTCAGCAAATGTGCCCTGGGTGGTGGGAGTGACCAACCCAGCCCTGGTTGAGAACTACTGATCCAAACTAAGGGAAGGAAGGGGGCGGGCAGAGATGCTCCAGGGTAGCGCCTGTCCTGGGGCGGCCCAGGCCCACCACCTGGGTTGAAGTCCCAGATCTACTCACCAGCTGTGGACAACAGGCAAGATGCTCCTCCTCTCCACCCCCACTTTGTTATGTATAAAATCCCGGGCTTTTGTGAAAATACAAGGGGGTAGTTCTTGGTGCCTAGAAGCACCCTCCAGCCCAGGAGGCGGCTTAGGTTTAGGTAGGGATTTTGTTACGTGATGTTTAAGCATGGGAGGGGTGTGTCTTCAGAGTTGCTACAGCTAAAATGATTTGGTTTGCTAAGCATGAGCTGGTTAGGGATGGAGAGAGGTGATTCAGAAAACTTCCAGAAGGCAAGAAGAAAGTCAGCCCTAGAAAGATTTTGAGACTAATTGTATACAAGAATATGACAGTCTTTCTTTGTGGCATTTTGGTCTCCTTAGGGACAGATGTCCAGGTGTGGCCCATCAGGTGGGGCCACCGGAGCCAGCATACCACAAGAGTTCCAGAAATAGGACCCAGCCATGTGGCACCCCTAGGGACCCAACCAACACTGGACTCACCCCAACACAGGACCCAGAGCAGTGGTTATGTGGTTGCCTGGGACCCCACTGCAATCACCCCATCCCCAGAGGCTCCTCACCATGTCGAACCTCCGGGCTAGCTCCAGGTCGTCCTCGTTCCGGACCATCTCAAAGAAGTCTAAATGCCTAGAGAGGATGGGGGAACAGAGGGGGTAGACATTACAGCCAGGACATCCGAGGTTGGGGATTAAGCCCCTTCAACCACCTCCCCCGACTGGCAAAATCTCAAAGTTTAACTCAGGTTAGGCTAAGGCAAAAGAGAGAAGCTACTGGATAGAAGCCAATACCTGCCCTTTATAAGAGCCCCAGACCTTCCTTCAGGGAGGTCATCCCAGGGTCCTATCTTCTAAGGTCAGCATTTCTCAGTTTTGACACTAGTGACATTTTAGGCTCCATTACCCTTGGCTGTGGAAGACTGATGTCTGTGAAGTGTTGAGCATCTTGGTTGCTACCCACTAGATGCCCACACCTCTCCTCCCCCAAGAGTGACAACCCAAAATGTCTCCAGGCAGGGCTGAGGGTCTCCTGGGGGATACAGTCGCCCTCAGTCAAGAACTGCTGCCCTCCATCCATCTTTCCCAGTGTCCTTCTACTGTCCCCAGGTCAGCCCTCAAGCTAATGTCTCCCTTATTTCCCACCCCATCAACACACAGGCTCGCTCCTCCCCAGACATCCTCTCTCCCTTGCGACCCAGTGCAATAATAGCCTGTGCTAATGGGACTGAACCAGAGGGGACTCACTGGTAACACAAGAATCTACCTCTGCTCTTTGATCAGCAAAGGCTTTATCATATGCATCTTAGATGGGCTTTTCTTTTCTGAGCAAGAGTGTACTGCAGGGCGTTTAGCGTTCTTGTCCCCAACCAACCAACTTGAAAATCAAAGAACAGTCCCACATATTTTCAAGTGTCCCCCAGGGGGCAGTGCTGGCATGGTTGAGAACTACTGGGTTCACCTGCCTATACACTAGGTGATGAGTCAAGGTCAGCACAGGGGACAGGCTAGGGCACACCTGCCCCATACACAGCTGGATATGGCAGGGAAGGGCAGCTTTCACAATGGTCCTGGCCATCTCCAACTGAGACACTGTCCCTACCCGTTTGCCATGGGGCTGGGTGGCTGGGGCCTTACTTGTCCAGGATGGCGTTCTCGTGTTGTCGGAGCTTATCGATCACAGGCTGTATCCCCAGCATCAGGAATTCATACCGTAGATGTAGACGAAACTCCAGATTATCCTGGGGGTCACCAAAGCAGCACGGAATTGAGTGGTTGGTCTTATGCCCAAGAGAATCCCCTGGGGACCCCTTGTCCACACCCCAGCCATCTTCCCACCTCGCCAGCAGCAAACTCACTTGAGCTGCTTCAAGTCCCAGGGTTCTAAAGCAGGATGGAACAAAATAACCTTGACCTTGTTATTCCTCTAAGCAAGCCCACTGCCCAGTTCCTTTTAGGTCTCCCACGTCACTTCCTTCTAGCCCCTTACCAATGTTCTCTTAGCTTTTGGCATCAAGAAGCAGCACGGCAGAGTGACCTGGGCATGAGCTTAGGAGTCAGGTAGACCTTGGGTTAAATCCCTACTCAGTCTCTTCGTAGTGTTTTGACCTTGGCAAAGCCTTGGATTCCTCATTTGTTAAATGGTCATAACACTAACTTACTGGTACAGGTGATGTTCATAAAAATTACCTGCCGTGATGTGACTACTCCCAATCAGAATGGATGACAACCATACAGAGCTGTGATGTCAGTATCTCAGGGACAGATTATTCCCCATTCCTACCTCGCCTAATTCTGTCATCATATTTGCATGTAAAAAATGTATGCTGGCAGAGAAAAGGGAAAAATTAGATCATTCAGTTGCTTTCTTTGCCCTTTTTGTCCTTCAAGTTCACCTTGATGGGGTTCATCTGATTGCCTTAGAATTGGAAGGGGGAGTGTTCATCTGCTCTTCAATTTCTTCTAATGTTGCTATCTTAATATTCTGAAAATTACATTTTGATCTGAAGGGAAACCAGAAACCACACCTCCTAATAGAAGGTGCTAGAAAAGCAAGACCAGCCAACTCAGAAATCAATTCAGGGGCCAGGGTTGTGGCTCAGTGGTAGAGCACTCGCCTAGCATGGGCAAGGCCCTGGCTTTGATTCTCAGCACCACATAAAAATAAGTAAATAAAAAATAAAGGTGTTGTGAAAATCAAAGAACTAAAATGAAAAAAATATATATTTTTTAAAAATAAAGAAATTCAGAAGCAGGTTTCTAGAAAGCTCTAGAAAGAAGGGTCAAAACTTGACATCCTCCCATAAACAATCCCCCACCACCTAAGCCATCACCAGCTAGCCCAGCTGGGAGTGTGACCACGGCACACATAATGCACCATGCCACCTCTGCAGGAAACTCCCCAGGAGCCCTCCCAGGTTTAGATAAAGTCAAGAAAAGCCAGACAGTCCTCAGGGCAGCTTTGAGGAGCCTCTGATAAGCAGTGAGTTTCGTGCAGTCCAGGTCTGCCATGGTATTGCCCTAGCAATGATGAGGGTCATGACAAACTATTCTTTCTTGGCCCCAAGTGAAGGAAACAATAGGTTCTAAAGATAATCGCAAGGTGATGTTGGCAGTAACAGGCACATGGACCAGATGGCCCTCCTCTCAGATGGCACTTCCTCAGGAAGAAGACACACACACACTGTACCCCAGGGTCAGAAATCGGGAGCCAGCAAAGGCAAGGTCAAGGTGCCTCACCTCTCCGGCTCCAGCATTGAGGACAGCGTTGATAAAGGACATGATGGCTGTTTTCAGATTCACTTCATCCCGGTACCGGCCCAAACTTCGATCTAGCTCATTCAGCAGAGTCTGGATGGGAAGGTAGGACAGGGCAGGAGCAGGGGTCAGGGTCCTACAAGAACAGTTTCCACCCCTTTGCTCCTGATGTCTCTAGAGGTCTCCTCTGCTCTCTCTGTCCAATCACATATCTGAGCTTATCTGGGACCACCCCAGACCTCACCTCAGGTGGGAACTTCAGGTGCCTCTCCATGCCTGTCTCTGCCCCACCTGCCTTCCTGCCCGCGAGGCCCCCAGGCTCAGTTTCTACAGCTGAGCAGGGCTGCAGGGCCAGATCCAGCTGTAGCGTGTGTTGACTCCCTCCCCAGCTCCCGATGGCATGGATGCTACCTTCCCTTCCTTTTACAACTTCTGTAAAGGATTATGGGCTACTTTCTGCACAGAGCAGGTACTCAGAAATGTTTGCTGACAGAATCAACCAAAAGCCTATTCAGACAATAAGTCATAGAGTTTGAGGCCTGCTCTGTGCCAGGCACTGTGCTGAGATACTTTATATATTACTTTCTGGGTAGGTCAGAGAGAAAAAAAGAGAATGGCATGGCTCAGTGCTGTCCCAGTGTCCCCTCATTAGGCACTGGTCCAGGCTTTGAGCCTAGAATCTTGACCCCAGCAATTGCCCTACATTCAATTCTTGACTGAGACCCTACCATGAGCCAGGAACTAGGTGCAGGGATGCAGAACCACAAAGATGAGGCCAACAAATATTCCAGGAACTCACAGTCTCGTGGAGACCAGCCCATTTCCCCAGCTACACCCATCATGTCTTTGGAAATAAGTCCCCTGGTTCCCAGTCCTCTCTTCCTTCCCCAAGCAAGCATGCCACCCATGATGACTCCTTTTCCTCCAGTTTCCATTACTGTCCTTTGCCACCAGTATGTGTCACCTCTGCCCACCCTGTTGGCACCACCACCTAGAGTCACACTTCTCACCTGGAAGCGCGTCCTCTCTGCTGCGTACACCTGGTAGTGTAGCATGGCCTGCAGCACCTTCTTGTGGCCTCCAGGGACGAGGCACACAGCGCCCAGGATCTCCAGCACGGCCACCTTGGTCTTGCTGTTCTCTGTGCGCAGACTCTGGGCAATGGTGCTGATGGCCTCGGGCTGGGCCAGCACATGAGCTCGCCCCTGGGAGTTGTTCATCAGTGCCTTGATGCAGCCGATGAGGGAGGTGTGGATGCGGCTCTCACAGGTGGCATGGTCCATACTCCGGAGGAAATTTAGCAGACAGGTCAAGCCCTCCAGCTCGATGAAGCGGGTCACAAACCTATCAGCCAGAGGCATTAGCAAAAGAGGCATCCTGAAGGTCATTCTGTGTACATTTTGCAAATAGCCACCTCATGACCTGTGACCTGCCATGGACCACGTCCCATCTACAGCAGTTGCTTGGTTCATTTATAAAGTTTACCCAAAGCACTGAAACCCTATCGTCCTCACAGAAAACTCATGTCTTATTGGCATTTTAAATAGTGTGCATTTGCATAGCATTGACTGTCAATTGCATAGTTTAAATGGGATGGAGGTGAAGGAATGATCACAATTATTATGGCCAGCAAACCTAAAGATCCATCTCTAATGAGAATGGGAATTAGAAGAACTTAATCAGAGCACAAGAAAGATTTTAATACAGAGGGGCCATCAGACTCACTGAGCTAAGGGACCAAGGCTAGAAAACTACATTTCAGGAGATCCTCAAGAAAATAGCAAAGTTATCATGAATGTTAGCAGAAAACATTAAAATCTATTTAGTTCAGGGTTTCTTAACCTGTAGTTTGTGTTTCTGCAAAGAGTCTATAGATAGCATTCAGGGATCCAAGCACTGGGAGGGGAAAAGACATTTACATTTTTATTTTTGAAAACCTCTAACTGAAATTAAGCATTTCCCTCAATAATGAGTGCAGGCTATCAAAGAGAGTGCTATTAGAAGAATATGTAACTCTGTCACCCAAACAAATCACTGCTATTTTCATATCAAATTATAGTTTTTGCTGGGATCTCAAAATCATTTATACCCAACAGCATGTCAAGATTATGGTGGTTGTTATCAGATCTGGTGCCAGCTATTGCTGTGGAAAGCATAAAGAGGCACATTTATTGCTATCTCATGCATTTTTGATATTGGTAGCTATATTTTAATTGAATTTGTTTATTTTTTAACCCTACCTATTTATCTCTTTTATTATTTAAAAAACATCATTTCTGAGAAACACTCCATAGGTTTCATCTGGGTGCCAGACTCCAAGGCAACACACAAAAGAAGGTTTACAGTTCTTGATACAGTAGAATAATACCCAAAGAACTGAGGAAATGGTTATAAATTGAGCTTAGGGAACATTATCTATAATCAATAGATAAATATATTTATAAGTATTTTGTATTATACCTATGATGCAAACATGCCTAGAATATGCTCTCGAATTAATAATAGATTTTTTTTCCTTTTCTCTAACAGATGCTCTTCTGTATGCTACAAAATTCCACAATGACTATGTGTAACTTTTGTAATCTAGATTTTATTAAGGAAATTTAAAATGAATTGAAGTGGACGAACTTGGCAACTCCCCTCGACCTCTTTACTTTGTGAGCGCCTCATTCTTTCCTGCATGTCCTTCCCAGACTGACCCCCACCTGCGCAGAGGGACACAGGGATGTGGATGCTCCACTCTCCTGAAGGCTGTTTCCAGGTCCCAGGGCAGAGAGCTCAACCAGGACCAGGACAATGCATACATACCCCTGCAGTGGACGGTTGACACATGCTAATAACTAGTTCCTTAGGGAAAGAGAGAGAGCAGAAAAGACCTGATTGTACTATTTGCCCATTTCCAGGACATAAATGCTCCTAGCCTAGCTGATTTCAAGCTATCCGTGGTGATGTCATTGAACATGGAGTTGGAAAGAGGTGCCTCATTTAGGCCGTGTTTCCACCATACACACATAAAGGGCATAAATTCAAGAGTGTAAATTCAATAGTGAAGAGCATATGTAATAGCAAAATGTGGAAAAAGAATTAGAGACTTATATGTTTCAAGTATTGGTTTTGATATAATTTAATTAATCGTAAGTTTATGTAATTAATAGGTTTAATAACTAGTGTGCCCCATTGCTGAAGATTTAACAATCACTTCTCACCAACTAGTTCCCGCACGTGCCTGGATACATCCAGAGCCAAAGGCAAGGAACCCTTTACAGCTCATGCTCTTTTGGGGCCCTATACACTGTGGTCTGGGAGGTAGGAGGAGTCCTCCTATGGCACCGGAGACACCCATCTCCTTTCTGCAGCCCCCATGGCTTCCACTCAGAGATGGTCAAAGCTCATGCATTGACTCTATATCCCCCGATCCTGGTTGAAGTCATTCTTAACCCACACCCACTTTCTCCCTGACTGGGGCACTCACCCTGTCCCCTCATTCTTAGGAAGTCCTTCCTTACATGCTTTGTCCATCTGGCCACCCTCCTGTTCTATTCTTCCTCCAAATACCAAGGGCCTGCCCTTGATCCCTCTTTAGAGAGCTCCTGAGGACCCGAGGCTTATCTGAACCTCTCCCGGGTTCTACTCCCCCCACCCCCACCCCAGCAGCTCGCAGCGACCCAGCAGAGGGGAGACGGAGCTGGAAGTGAAAGGGTGAGGTAGAGTCTAGGAATGTCAGGTAGAACTGGCAGGGGCCAGCATAGGAGCAGAGCACATCAGGGGACCACCTGGGCAAGGACTCGAAGTGAGGAAGGAAAGAGGCCCAGTCACCTCATGGGCTGTGTCCGCAGCGCCGTCTTCAGGTCTTCCACGATCTGGTTCCTCATCTCTGTCTCCTCCTCATCAAACGCATACAGACTCTGCATCTGAGGAGCCAGCAGGTAAGAGGGGATACTGGTCAACTGGTCACACTGGGCCACCTGTCCCCCAACCCAGGCTTGACTCAGGGGCACCCTCACCTCAGGAAGAGTAAGGCCTCAGGGATTAGTTTACTAAGACAGAGGGTCTGAGGGGACCCAGGTTCTGGTCTAGGACTTCACTATCTTCTTCTGTGAAATAGGAAGAATTACTGGTCCAACCTATTTCCCAAGCCTGGGTGACATCCAGATGGGTTAATAAATGCTTAAATAGTTGGGGCACTCTGAAGTTGCACAGAGGAGGGGTGGATTATGATGAGTTCTCAGGAGTAATGGAAAACCTCTACACCTCAGTAGGACACGGAGAGAACGGAGGGGTCTGACTCTCTCTTACTCTCCCCAGGTGGAGAGAGAGAAGGAGAGGACCAGCCGCTCACCGCAGCCATGGAGTTGATGCGTTCGATGTAATAGTCAGGCCAGCTGGTTGCCAGTTTGTTGGGGTCCTCTTGCTCCTGGAACAAGAAGAAGGATGGTATGGATCAACTGGCAAGACCCATGGCCTGTGACCCTGAGCTCTACTTGAAGTCAGCAGAGGGAATGTTCCCAGCCCTGCCCACAGTGGGTAACTAGAGCAAGATGCAAAACCTCCCCAGGCTCCTGTTTCTTCCTTGATAAAATAGACAACAAACACTGAATCTCGTGACCCACTAATGACACAGGCAGAAACTATGCAGGCAGACACTTCCAATGGAGGGCATGTACTGTTTTTAAAACTCTTTTCTCCTGCTATAACTGTTCTACCTACACTTAATAAAATGTAATTTTATGACTGTTGTGTCTAATACAAATTTTTGCCTATATTTTGTACATCTTTCATTTTTGGCTGATGTCATTCTTATATCATACAACAGTACTGGTCTATGGCGGTTTGGAAATTTAGAAATTTGGTCTTTCAGTTTGGGAATAATGATATAAAGCATTTGGTGTAGTGCAAAACACACAGGAGGTACTCAATAAATAGCAACTACAAAAAAGAAATCAAATCCCAAGACCATGGGTTCTAGAAAGGCTTAGAAACCCCTTCTCTGCCTGTGATTCATTCACTGTCAAACTTCCCAGAATGAAGTGGGTTGGCCAGCTGGGCAGCAGTGCAGAGGACCTTCGGGTGGCTTTCAATCCCTAAGAGAAAGGCTTAGCTCTTCCCCTTGCTTGGGACAGCATGGTGGAGTTCAAAAGCCATTAATGTTGAAAGAAATCCAGCCTTCTCCAGCCAAATGGATCTGCCTCTGGGCGTGACACACATCCTGTTCCTTTCTGTCCCTGTGCCGTGGTCACTTTGGATACTTTTCTCATCTGCTGTCAAGATTTGTAATCTCCTGCTTGCAAATCTACATAAAAACTCACCTCCTCCAGAACCTCCCTGAAAAACCCTCCCTTCTGCCACCTGCCAGCTGACCCTGGTCCCTCAGCTCTGCCTACTCAAGCAAATTTTAGACCAGTGCAAAACCTGCCCCTGTTCTGGTCTTAGCGACCTCATAGGGCTTTATGTGTTAAAATCTTCATGAGTAAATGCCAAATACTCCGTCTTCTACCTTGGGGAGGAATTGCACCAGCAAAAACAATGGAATCAGGAAACATACAGTTTCTTGCATTTGCTGGCTTATTATTCTATCCATTCCATATGCATTTTATGAATACCTACTGAATGCCAGTCAATGGTGAGGCCTGAAGGTACTGAGTAAAAAGTCATCCTGCCTTTGCTATAACAGTCCAGTGCTGGAGAAAGAGTGGAACATGTTCTATAGAACTGTCCGTAATGAACCTGGGGGCGGGCATCTAACAGAAGGCTGTGGGTGGGGGATGGTTAAGGGGACTGGGTAGAGTTATTGAAATCGTGAGGCTAAGACAGGTGGGGAGACACAGAAATTGCCACGTGGGAAGACAGACAGGTGTCAGAGTAGATGGGGAAATCATACACAATTTGGTTTTCAAAGTACTGTGAGATGCCCTTATATTTTAACAAATCTTTTACTTGAGCTACACAAGAGATTATATTAAGGGAACTCTATAGTAATCAATTTGGAAAGCAGAGACTCATGAAATGTGATTAACTGCTCCTAAAGTTTATTTTCTCCTCCTTCCTCTTCCTTTCTTCCAAGACTTGAGCTTTTTCAAGGCCTGCTTTTCTTACGTTAGTAGACACTGACCATTGTATCTGCAGGTGTTTCATAAACATGTCGTGTGATATTAAACAAAGTCTTACAGTGTGTGCCTTGAGGCTCTTTTGTCCCCAGCAGTGGTCTGGCTGCCTGCTGTCACTGGTGGGTGACTGGGTGAGCCCATGGTCTCTCTAGGCCTCCCCTGCCTCCTATGTAATAAAGGACTTGAGAGGATTGTTTCTCAGGTTCCCTCCAGTTCTGAAAGGGTCTATGATTCTATGACCTGCCATGATAAGGTCAGCCTGGCTCAGTATGGAGCCCTGGGATGGGACAAATATCCTGACCAGGAAGAGTAAACTAAGAGCTATGAATGGGCACGGGGAGTGGAAAGAGGGTCAGCTCAGACCCCACCTGGACCTGCCTGTCTTCTCCAGGGGATGGGGGAGTATCCAGATCCTCACCCCAAATACCCATACTCTGAGGTTGGGAAAAGGAGCCGTAACTGCAGTCTGAAAAATGGAGGGAGGGGAGAAAGGTGAACCAAGAAAAGAAAAATAGAAAGTAAAAGAAACAGAAAAGCTAAAATAAAGGAGATAAGAGAGGTTAGGAGAGGAGGAGATGAACCGAGGGGCTGCAGAGCCGGAGGAGAGAATGCTGAGAAGCAGAAAGAGGTGAAACCCAATGGAGCCTGGCACTGGCCTTTGTAGGGAGGGCAACAGGCAAGACACCCACAGCTTCTTTAAAGGAAAAGAAGGAAGGCACGACAGTGAGGAGACCAAGGACGGACATGTGACCCCAAGCCTTTTTTTTTTTTTTTCTGTTTTTGCCTGTTGTTCCTCCCACACCTAGAAGGGCACTAGCTCATAAGACTGTCTGTTGAACAAATGTTTGACTAAGGCATCAAGAGTTGGCCCTGGCTGTGGCCCCGGGATGCGGCTGGAAGGGTGAGAAAGGGGGTCACCTTCTTCTTGCTGCAGTAGATCTGCCATTTCTTCTCAGGGGGCAGTGCAAACACAGCCTCCCGGTTTTTGTCTGTGAGATCCAATTCATCCTGCAAAGGCAATAAGAAAAATCATGTCTGAAACCCAGCGAGGGTTGAGAGTAGAATATTCAGCCCTACCGGAATTTAGAATGCCCCCAAACCTATGCCTTGGCCTACTATCTTTCTCCCAAAGAACACCAAAGATAAGATGGGGAATTTCTTCCCTATCCCTTGTTCCAACCCAGCCTGTACTTCTACTCAAACTCCCTTACTTCCTGTCCACCCCTGGCTTATCTGGACAAGTCCATTCTCCTCCTCCAGCTCACCCCATTTCCTGCCCTTCGCTGGCCCTACTCCCTAATCCTCTTGTCCAGGGTTTCGGGTCTTCCTGCTCAGAGCCTTCCTATACTTGCCAACATCACAGGACAAGGCTGGACAAAGAGAGGGGCCATTTACAGAACAAGTCCTGCCTCTCTCTCAGATGCTTGCCCTGTTCTTCAAATCTACTGCCTTTTGAGTCTCTCCCCCAGAAAACCTCTGGCTTTCCCAACCTCCGTGTGGGTTCCAGCAGGGGCCCAGGAGAGCAGGTGAGGACAAGGGGCTGAGCAGAGGGCATGCTACATCAAGGGCAGCCTTGATCCACTTCCCCTGGAGGGAGTGCCCGCTAGAAGCAGCCTCTCCACCACAGGGCTGCCCGTGCACAAAGCTGGGGCCTCCTCCAGGTGGGCCCACCATTTCTGGAAAATAGAACTGGAAGCTTCTGCAGTTGTCACATTTGGGGGTTACTCTGTAGTCGTTTGGGTGAGTTTCCAGATTTGCTATGGTAGGTGGTCCCTACAAAAGCTCTTTTTGAAGTTTTTTTTTCCTATAATTCATCAGCAACCCCAGGGCTCATCAAAGATAACAGTTAACAGGCTACTGGGAACATGGTGTGCTATTCAATTAAATTGTGCACATTTTAAAAATCAAAAACAAAACCCACAAGAAGACAACAAAGCATAATACTACTAAATGCACTTTATATTTTCAAATGCAACAGTGAAAGCAAAACTAAGGTAGTTTAAGGGTCTTAAATCTCAACATCTACAACCGTTTCTGGATACTTCCATTCAAGGGAAAACAATTAAGACTTTCCTTCTCCTAGACCAGAACTATCAATAGGAATATAATATGGGCAATATAGATTTTAAACATGTTTTAGCCTCATTAAAAATATAATAAATTTTAATAAGTGAAGTTAACTCAAATACATTTTTGAGCCAATACACCTAAAACATGACTATTTCAACAGGTATTTGATGTAAAAATTTATCAGTAAAATATTTTATATTCCTTTTCTCAAATTAAGTGTTCAAAATCCAGTATGGATTTTCCTTGATAGTTCATGCCGTTCAGACCAGTCAGTAGCTGCATGTGGCCTGTGGCTGTCATTTGGATGGTGCATGCATACAATGAGAATGTGAAATAACGCCCATCAGTTCACCTGCTTTGGGAACTAATGACTTTTGCAGATTTAGTGTCAAACAAAGGTTGACACCTAGAAGGGTTCTCTCCATATCCCAGAAATGTCCTTGGTCAAAGGGAGGAGGCAGGGGATTAGCAAGGATGGTGGAATGTGATGGATATCATTATTCAAAGTACATGTATGAAGACACGAATTGGGTGTCAACCTACTTTTATATACAGAGATATGAAAAATTGTGGTATATATGTGTAATAAGAATTGTAATACAAAAAAGGTTCACTTATAAAGACATGAATTGGCGTGAACATACTTTATATACAAAGATATGAAAAACTGTGCTCTATATATGTAATAAGAATTGTAATGCATTCCTCTGTCGTGTATTTTTAAAAAATCAATAAAAAAAAAATCATCAGAACACTGTTTGAGGTTTCCTTTCCATGGTCAGGATCAGAAACCAAAGAAAAATGACACTTGCATGTACCTAACCTGACATTTTCCAGCACAAACTCAGCCCTTCTTCAAATCTGTTCCTCTTCTTAGACAGTCCCTCCTCTTCTTACCAACCAGGCTAAGGACCATGGTGTGACTCCCACGGCTCAACGCCGGCTTCCTCTAGCGAGCCTTCTCTGACCTTCCCCGGTAGGAACCATCGCTCCCTTCCTGGATTACGTCTGGTCTTGCATTCTGGGTATTCAGGCACTTGCCAGCAGTCTCCATTTCTCCATCAATGGGAATCTCTTGGCCATTCTCCTCAGCCCAGGAAGCATGGGACTTTGCTGACCTCTCCCTCCTTATGGAACCTGTTCTGTGGTCCCTTCAGCAGCCACACTCTCGGGCAGTCCCATGCACTTCATTTTATGTTTCTGCTCAGGCTCCCTTGATGATGTCTCTTCTGTCTTCAAAAGCTTGGGACATGGTACAGTGTCCTTCTCTGTTCTCCCCCCGGGCTTCACATTCATTCCCAAGGACTTGGTTATTATGCCAACACCTCATAGACCTATTCCTCCAGCCCTCCAGATCCTGAGACCCAGCTGACTCCAGTACTTTTCCCCTTTGCTGCTCTTCAGGTTTCTCATACACATAAGTCACATTACCATGTACCAGGCACTGTTGAAAGTGCTATTATTCATTTATTTGAATCATGCAACAACCCATTTTACAGATGAGGAAACTGAAGCATAGAGAGAAAAGCAAATTGAATTCATCATCTCAGCCCCCTAAGCTTGAGCCTTCTCCTATATATCTATCTTGTGCAGGGCCCCAGCACCCACCCAGCTCCTCATCTCAGCAGCCTGGGTGTCCATGATTCCTGCCTTTTACCCTTCCTTCTAAATCCCTCCTAAATCTGCCATTCTCCTTCCTCATGACTTTGGTCCAAACCACCACTGCCTCTAGCCTGGTGGCCTACAACAGCCCCCTACTGATCAGCACAAACCCCTTCTTCAACAGATACCCTGAATGGTCTTTTAAGAAAGCAGATGGATCACCTGAAAACCTCCAGGGGATTTCCACTGGGGCTCAACCTGGTAGATTTCCTAGGATTCCCTAGAATTCAGGCCCAAATTCTTAGTTGTTCTGACTTTTGCTGTGCCTCCCAAAAGGACCTAGCTCTATTTTAACCTGAAACTCTCCCCTAGGCTGCTCCTTCTTCAAAGGAGCCTCTCTATTCTACCTCCCCATCCACTTACCTAACCTCACTCGGCTTTGGGGTCTCAATGGAAATGTTGCTGCTTCACGGAGGCCATTGTGACCTCCCTGTCTAGACTATAGCTCCCACAGCCCCCTGAGTGTTCCCTGTCCTGACTTACCACTCTGTCACTGCTTTCCAGACCAGTGTTACCGGGATGACTTCCCCTTCTGGATGCAGGGCCCTGTCTGTCAGACCATCTCTAAATATCTGGGACCCTGCAGGGCCCAGAGCAAGGCAGTCTCTCTAAGAAAGGCTTTTCATTTGTTTGATGGATACCTGACACCCGACCCCTTGCAGGCAAGCCTTGTCCAAGTCACCCTTGCTTTTTTTTTTTTTTTTTTTTTTAAGAGAGAGGGAGAGAAAGAGAGAGAATTTTAATATTTATTTTTTAGTATTTGGCGGACACAGCATCTTTGTTTGTATGTGGTGCTGAGGATCGAACTCGGGCCGCACGCATGTCTGCGAGGCGAGCACTCTACCGCTGAGCCACAACCCCAGCCCTCACCCTTGCTTTTGCCAAAGTACCTTGTGAGGATCCTGCCCACCCAAGATGCTCAGTAAATACTTGTTGGACAAAAAGGGTCAAAAGGGGAACAATTCTTGTCACATCTGTTCCAAACTTACATTAGGAAAACATCCCTAATATCAGACAGACTCCAAACACTACTTACAGTACCAAATGTTTGTTCCCCGATCCTATTCTGGAGAAAGGAATAAATCTGGAAACAGTGAGTTTTCCTGAGGTGAGAAGGAAGCTGGACACCTTTTTTAGATAACCTAGAGGGTCTCATGTGTAGGACTGGATTGCCTCCACCAGCCTTATCTCATAGCAAAAGCATGTATAAGTCACATTCCAAACCACCTGTACCATTTTTCTATGTCTTGACTACAGGCCAGCCATGAGCATAAGGAACCAAGAGCTAGTGGCAGAGCAACTGGGCTTCTGGCCCTAAGTCGGGATTCAGGCCCGGGCCTCTCCTGGTGTGCAGGCTTTGGATCATCATGGAACCTCCAAAAGGGAATTGTGCTTCCATCCTCTTCTGTCTGTGTGGTCATCCTCACAATGTCAGGCGGAGCCTCTGGTCTGGATGGGCACTACCAGGGGTCAGGAAGGCCTGGTGCCAATGTGAATGAATGACGCCTGTGGTCAACCCAACGAGAAGTAGGGCTTGGTCATCCCAGACCTGAATCAGATCCTGGGTGTGATCTAGACTCCTCTACCTCCATATTTTTGCCACTCACAGCCTGTTCCAAGGTGCCCAATTTTGCCTAAAGAATCCCACTCTGTCCTTTCTTCTGTCCTGAGGTCAAGAGGCCCAGAGGAAACTCCAGAAAGCAGAAGAGGGAAAGGAATTGAGGGTTCTGATGTTCTCCGAGACTCTTCACTGCCTAATTTCACAAAAATTTGGATCTGCTCCATTCTATGACAGCCCAACTGCTACCATGTGACTGAGAATTCCCAGGGAATAGGAGGTGGGTCTCTTCTTCTGGGGACCACTGCATGATGCCCACCCCAGTGAGAGACTTTTTCTGCATTGCTGAAATGTTTTAGGGGGACTGCCTCAGCCCCAAGAGGAGCCTTGAGAGGTGGAGACCCGGCTCATGGGCTCTCACTCTGTTCCACTCTGCTTGTCCATCTGCCCCCTCCCCGCTGTCATCTGCCCCTCACCCACTCACCACCAGCTCTGCGAAGCAGACATTAAGCTCTTCCGGGTTGGGGATGGGGCTGCTGAACTCCATGTACTGCAGAGGGTGGTTGTCCCGGAGGTTGATCTCAGGGAGGTCATTGCCCCCAAAGCAGCACAGGAAGCCCAGGCCATGGCGGCTCCTCTTGCGGGGGGCCATGGTCACTTTAGGCCGGGGTTGTCAGCAGGCAGATGCTCAGGTCCTCATCACGATCTAGGAAGCAAGACAGACAGCACCGGCAATCAGGCATGTCAGTCAGGCAGGTGGGGGCAGAGGTCACTCTGCCTTCAGAATCCTTGTCCCTCAGCTGCCAGGTGCTCACAACCAATAGCCAAGGCTGCCTCCCTTTCCCCCACTGCCTCTGTTTCTTCCAGCTCCTTCTACCTGGAGGCATTTATATGTCCTTCCTACCGTGCCCGAGTGTTTTCTGCCACAGACACTTCCACATCCCTCTCTTTGCCCCTGGAGGAGGGCTGTAATCACAGAATGTGACTTCGAGGTGCTCAGAGCTGGCACTTAGTTACCCTCTCCATGACTGTGCAGACAGGACCTGATTCCCCGCCCTCTGCAAGAGCAGTTTCCAAGAGGGTTCACTCACTTGACTCGCTGCAGGATCTGGGGGTGACTGATTTAAAAGCACCATCCAATAGGGAGGGATGGGTGGAGGTGGGCTGGCAGGGAAAGCCCCAAGGTGACTCTGTGGCACAGCTCCTAGTGCAGGGGCCTCCCACAGACAGAGGATTGGAGGTTCTGACATCTGCTCAGTTTTCTGCCCAGCCTGTTGTACTTGGATAAATGTGAAATAGCAATAAGGCCCAGCTAGATTTTCCCCATCCCATACTTATAGATCTGAAGTTTTGCAACATAAATATACGACTATTTCTCTCTGTTGGATGGTATTCATTTGGGGGCGGGGGATCAATTCTTAGCTGTTTCTCCTTGATTCAGATCACTGACTGATTAGAAGGTCTATGGCCATCATCCACATCGTCACTGAACATGTCAACAATGACAAAGACATTCAGCCCCATAACACAACCCCCCTCATCTCAGAATGCCAGAGAACTATTCATCAATACTCTCACGGTTCACTGCTTCAACCAGCTCGAAAGCCACATGACTATGCTTCTATCCAGCCCTCTTTTCTATGATGACAAAATGAAAAAATTTTTCCTAAAACCCTGTGGAACTCAAGGTATGCTAAATCTAGGGCATTCCTCTGCACCGAGCTCTAGAACCTTATCAAAGAAAAAAACAACAAGATACATGTGGCATAACTTGTTCCTAGTGAACTCAAGATAACTTCTAGAGAACATTGCTTTATTTCTGAACTCTATCCATGTAATAATTTACTGTAACATCCGGCTTTTCACATAAATCATGTTCTATTTTAATTGTCATTCTAGAACTTTTTATTGGCTCTGTTTTTATGTTTTGTTTTGTTTTTACAAGATTTGTGACAAGTCTTTTAACGGACCTAGGCAACCCTCAAAAAACACATTGTCCAAGGACATCTTCTAATTATCATATTGCCCGTCATGAATACAGCAAAGGCCCCTGGAGGGCAGGGGTCCTGTCTCCTGCTTCTTGACACCCACTTCACTTCTATAGCTAATAAAGTACTTGTGCTTAGTTTGTGCTGAGTACATGTCTCTTGGTCAGTTGGGAAATGACCTATGCTCATGGAAAAGGGGGAAAGATGGGTCCTTAATATTCAGTCAGGCACTACTGATTGAAATCTCTGTCACCAGGTGACAAGCCATCAGGAACTTTTGTAGGGAATGAGAATCAGTCCCAGGGTCTGAAGGTGGGGAGGCAGACGGCAGGTGAACACAGTGATCCTGGCACATGGACCCAAGGCCTGGGACAGGCTGGCAGCTGAGGAAAATGTAGAGGAAGGGAGACTTCCACAGGACTTGGTAGCCAGGGGCCAAGAGTGTGTGAGACAAAGCCCTGATGGCCGACGGTCAGGCTCCATGTCCTCAGGCAGACAGGAACAGGCTCCAGGGAGGTATCCTGCCTGTTATGGAGCAGGGGATGACCACATAGAATACAGACCAGCTCCCCTTTGTCTCCTAAGGCTCTGCAGTGCACCAGCAGCTGGTCAGCTGGACTGCGTCATGTAGGGCATGAAGGTGTGGTGAGGCTGGGTGGCAGCATGGCAGGGCTCTAGGAGGACAGGCTGATGTCTGGGAGGACAGTAGTCCCCTCTTCCTGCCTCCCCCACTCAACATGCCCCATCCAACTCTTGGCTCTTTAGCGCCTAAGCCAGACTTTTCTGGAAAAATCATGCGCAGGGGTTGGGCTGTCCAACCTTTGGACACTCTGGTCCAAATTTATACCTCCTGTTCACAGCCTGACTGCTCTGACTGGTTCACGTCCAGGCCACACCTGTTATTGAATAGTTTCAACATCGCCCTAAGCACAGGGAGTGGAGGGGAAAGGTAGACATGGTAGAAACTTCTCCCTCCAGAGAGAAGTTCCATCCCCCAAGAGCAGGGCCTGTCCCACTCCGGGCACGCACATATTTGCCCTTTTAAGGGGCTGCCTGTTTGAGGCTCCCAGGTCTGTTTACGTTCCAAAAGACAACTCTCCTCCCAGAGACGCCCTCTTAAGTCTTTTCCTGCCTCCCCTTCTGGAGGCCCCATCTGAACATCCAAGGCTGAAACCACAGGCTGTCAGCAGGAGGGAGCCTCAGAAAGCACGGAGCTTCAGGGCACAGCTCGGAGAAACGAAGATCAAAGAGGAAACGTCCTATCTAAGGTCACACAGCTAGAGATAGAGCTGGGATGAAAACCGAGGACACTCCAGCGGCCAGCTGTGTCCAGTCACTGTCCCACCAGAGCTTGTCTTCATCTGTCAATGGACCTTTTTTCTCATCTTGCCCATAGGCCCCCAATAACCTCCCTCTGCTAAAGAAGCCAGCCCCTGTAGCTTAGTTTAGAAATACCTCTAGTTTCAGCTGGGGATGGTGGCAAGAGCCTGAAGTTCCAGATACTTGGGAGGCTGAGGCAGGAGGATCACAAGTTCAAAACCAGCCTCAACAACAAAGGGAGACCCTGCCTTTTAATAAAATGTAAAAAGGGCTGGGGATACAGCTCAGTGGTAGACTGCCCCTGGTTCAATCAGTGGAAGGAAGGAAGGAATGAAGGATGGAAGGGAGAAAGGGAGGGAGGGAAGAGGGGAGGGAAGGATGATGGGAGGCAGGGAAGAAGGGAAGGGTGGAAGGAAGGAAGGAAGGAAGGAAGGAAGGAAGGAAGGAAGGCCTGCTCTAGTCTCAAGACCCCTCTAGAGGAGCAGAGACTAAGGGAGATCCTAAAGTCCACCGGCCTCTCCTCCATCTGTAGGAACCACTTCTATCTTCCAAAGCCCGACTTCTCACCTGCCCTGCTCTAACCCCCCTTCACTCCAGCATCCTGGTTGCAGAGGCCTTGCAGTCAGACAGATGGGGCTGGGACTCCTGGCCTCACCTTTCTGCCTGGTGACCTTGGTCATGACTCTTAGCTTCTGAGGGCCTCGGGTTGCTCCTCTGTGATACCAAAATAATCACAGCAACTTCCTCCTTTTTTTTAGGTTTTGGTGAGGAGTCTGTGAAGCAATGGAAGTAAAACACCTGGAAAACCTGGCCACTCACCAGATAAAGATCAGAACTGCTGCTGGGGCTTCGCTGTCAGTGTTACCAGCAAGGCAAGGCTGCCCTGCCCAGAGCTGCAGCTCTTCCTTCTCCAGGCCGAGGTACCCGGGCCTGGCCTTGTAGGAATTGGCCCAGCCAGATTTAAGAAGTCACCCAGCTGTGCCTTCCGTAAATGGGAAATCTAGGCCAGAGTGGGGCTCCTCGCGGGGCACTGAGCTCTCTCTTATTAGAAACGTATGCATAGCAATGACAAATGTTGGAGGTGATAGATAGGCCTATTGCCCTGATTTGATCATTGCATCAGGCAGACAGGCATCAAAACATCGTACTGGACCCCCAAAAAATGTACAATTAGGGGCTGGGGCTGGGGCTCAGCGGTAGAGCATTTGCCTGGCACACGTGAGGCACTGGGTTCGATCCTCAGCACCACGTGAAAATAAATAAAATAAAATATTGTGTCCAGCTACAATAAAAAAATACATATTTTTAAAATGTACATTTATTATGTATCCATTAAAAATAAAATTTTAAAAAACAAGAAAAGAAGGAAAGGGAGGAGGGAGAAAAAAAATCCTGGTCCTAACCCCTGAGGGAGTGGGAGAGGCCAGGTGGCCAGACAGTTTTGTCTCCGCAAAAGCCCGTTGGGAACAGGAACAATGGCAGTTTCCACCTCAGAGTAGAATTGAGAAGCAACAGAAGAAAACAGAAGGAAACCCAGGGGGCTGGACCTCAGGCGGGGGGTGGGTTGGGGGATTTAGCCCACCTCCACTCGCAGCCCCTTTTCTCCCTGTGAAAGATTCCTGGCGCTGACAGCTCCCTGCCCTCCACATCCTGCTTCCTTGCTCCCTCCCTTCTTCCTGTGGGGACAAGGTCTTCTCAGGACTGTCAGCCCCCTACACCACCAGCCATCTGGCCAGCGCCTCCTGTGAGGTCTGTGAGCCCCCTCGAAGGGTCTCCTCCACTCCTGTGACCCCTGTCACAGCCCTCTCCCACACCGTGCAGAAATGAATTGCTTTATCTCGGAGACAAGGACTGGTCCCATCTCTGTCATTAGCAGTCATGAGTCAGGGGACCATGGTGTTCTCTTTGGGACTCAGTTTCCTCTCTGCACAGTGCTGGCTTTTGGTAAAGACCTTCAAGGATCCTAGAAGCCTTGACCCTTCCCACTGTCCCATTCCCAATGGACTCTCCTCAAACTGAACTGAGCACTGCCCCACACTCCACCCCAAGACTAAAGGACTCCTAACTTGATCTCATTCTTCCTATTTGGCCTGCAAAGATGAAAAGCCTGATCCTTACCCCCAAGCCACCCCACATTCCAGTTTTTACATTTTGGGATTTACTATATCATTAATGCTTCTTCTTCAAACTTCAGAAAGTACAGATTAATGCTAATACTTCAGACTTTGTTATGTGCCAGACACTGAGCTGTACCTACATTTTGGCCCACAAGTGTCTGAGATAGGTGGTTTCATTTTAAAGAAGTAATTAACAGGAAAACAACAACAAAATTTAGAGAGGTTAAATAACTTGCATGGCTATACTGCTAGCTAATGACATAGTTAGGATTCAAACCCAG